GCAGGCGACCTCGCGACTCCACGTCCAGACAGACAGGAGCCGCCACGGCACTGAAAGTGCAAGGCCCAGTGCGCGCGGGTGCGCAGTGTGTGGGTGAGTGTGTGGGTGAGTGTGTGTGTGAGAGAGAGAGAGAGTGTGGTGAGAGTGTGGCGCACCTCGTCCTTGAGTCGGGCGACGTAGGCGGGCTGGTGCGGGTCCTGCAGCTGCAGCGACTTGTAAAACTCGTCGTCGAGCCGCTCGAGGTACGAGAGCACGTTCGACGTCATCTGCGTGACGCCAGAGTCGATGAACTCGTCGTCGTCGTCGCCGGCCTCCGCGGTGGTCATCTGGGTGGTGTCCACCACGGTCGACCCCTCGAGCACCTCGATCTTGAGGTCCGGGTTGTCGACGAGCGTCTGCAGGATGCGGCGGAAGACGTCGAAGATCGCCTGCCGCGCACACACACAGAGAGAGGGAGACGGGGCTCAGCAGACCGACAGGCGCGCCTCGTGTCGCAAGAGAGAAGGGTGCCCGCCTTCCAGACGGGCGTCGGCATGGCGGCGAGCATCGACATGTGCAGGTCGAACTGGAAGGCGATCACGTGCCCGAGCAGCTCCACCAGCTTGGACGGCCGCTTCGTCACGTCGGCGAGCTGAGACAGCACCGAGATGGTCTCCTTGCGGTCCGTCGCCTTGCGGCCGCGCTGCTGCAGGATCTGGTCGAGGCGCTTGTCGATGTCGGCCTCGTTGTAGTCCTTGATCGGCTTGGGCCCCTGCGGCTTTGGCGGCGCCGCAGCCTTGGCGGGCTTCGCCTCTGCCTTTGCCGCCTTGCCGCCCTTCTTCGCCTTTGCGGCGGGCGCGGGCGCGTCCTTCATGAAGGCGGCAGCCTTTCCGCCGGCGGCAGGCGCGGGCTTCTTGAGAAACATGGACTTGCCGGCCGGCGCCTCGTCCTCGCTCTCGCTCTCGCTCTCGCTCTCCTCCTCCTCCTCCTCCTCCGACGCGCCGCCGCCGCCGCCGCCGCCGCTCGCCTTGGCGGCGTCGATCTGCGCCTTGTGCTGCGCGATGACCTTGCGCAGCTTTTGCTTGAGCGAGTTGAGCGCCTTCGCGTTGGAGGGCGACATCTTCTTCTTCGCGTCCTTGTCCTCCAGCGCGCGCGCGTTCGCCTTGTGGTGGCGGACGCGGAGGGGGGTGCGGGCGGGAGGGGGAGGGGGAGGGGGGAGGGGGGAGGGGGGAGGGAAGCGGCGTGGGGCAAAGAGCGAGCAGGAGGGGAAGGAGCGAACGGGAGCAGAGGGCGTCGGTGGCGGCGGCGAGAGAGCGGGAGGGCGGATGCGAGGCCTCTAGCACGGCTCGGGCAGCCATCTGGGCGCGCGGGCGGTGGGCAGGGAGGGGGATCTTCCCGGAACTGTCACCTCCTCGAGGTGCGCGAGTGCCAAAAAGTAAAACGTCGGCGTCCCCTCGCGCTCGACGATGGGCTTCGCCTTTTGGAGGAGCTTGTTGAGCTTGTCGTAGTCCTCCGTCACCGCGATCCAGTCGTTGATCTTGATGTGGTTCTTCATGCTCGCCACCGCCTCCTGCATCTGATCCCACCGCTTGTCGCGGTGCGACCGGACGACGCGCTTCTTGTCGCCGTCCGAATCGGAGTCGTCACCGCCCTTCATGAAGGCGCTCGCCTTGGCGCTCGGGGGAGGCGCGGCGACCTGCGCGCGAAGGACCGGGGGGGAAACGGCGCTGAGCGAGCCTGCTCTTGGGCGCGGCGAGGCGGCGGCAGCGGCGCTTCGACGCCGCCGCTGCCGCCGCACGGCCTGCGGCGGCGCGGACGAGGGCACGACGCGCCTGCTCCTCGACAATCTCATCCTCGGACTCGTCCTCGGAGGACGACGACTCGGAGGACGACCCGCCGAAGAAGCGGCTCGCCATGAAAGCTGCTGCGCGCTCGAGGGTCTGGCAGGCAGCCTCGGGGCCTCGCGCGCAGTGTCTTTCTTCTTGCGCAGTCCGCACGAGTCTGTTGAGAATAGTTGTTTTGTTTAAATTCTTCTTCAGATCACCCCTCGCCGCGTGTTTTCCCCCTCTCCGTGAGCTAAGTGACTCCTCCGTTCTAAACGACGTCTTAACCAGGCTATCTTTCATTTTTTTCATTCGTTGCCACTCAACACGACTCACGAGCCCAAATCACTGTGAGAGTCGTGATTTCTTGTTGGTTAATAAAAATCTCTCTCAACATCACTCATGGTCATGCCTTCCTACAGCTCACTGGGCAAGAACGGGGTGATGTGGGTCGTCCGTCAAAATATCTCCACATCCAACACAATCAGCCCCCCAAGAACCGCGCGCCCGCCGCGTGTCGCCATTGGGTCACACCAGCGAGCACACCAGCAGCACCGCCGCGCCGCACCCCACCCGCGCCACGGAGCGAACGCGGTCGAGCGTCGCCTCCGCCACCAGGCCGCGCGCACTCTTTGCGCCGTCGGCGGCGACCGCGGCGAGCGCCCACGCAATCACAGCCGCAAACACGGGGTCTCGCGTGGTGGCGGTGACGTAGGCTGCGGCGGCTACCGCCGCCACGACGCTCGCGCTCGCCGCGGCCTCTTTGAGCGGGAGGGGCGAGCGCACCCTCGCGAGCCTGCGCGAAGACACGGCAGAGGGTTCGGGCGCGGGGAGTGGGATGCCGCCATTGCGTCTGCAGCGGCGCGGCGGCGGCGGCGGGCCGTGTGCGCGGCTCGGTGAGCTGTGTGCGGGTGGAGGTGAGCTGTGTGCGGGTGTGTTCGGCCGCCCCGCGTGTCTCGCGTCTCGGAGTCGCCGCGTGCCAGTTGTTGAGGTTGACGAGCGAGGCGGCCGAGATCCACCCAAAGTGCAGTGCGATCGGCCACCGCACGAGAGCGTTGGTGAGCGGGCCGCAGGCCTGCGCGGCACAGACAAGGGTCAAGAGGGCCGAGAGGATCGCGGAGGGACTGCCGGCCCGACGGAGCGGAAAGAAAGCAGAGGCGCATCAAGCGGTGCGGCGGCTGCTACACGTGTGTGTCTGCATCTAGATCCGCAGGCCGTCGCGCGCAGTGCGCGGTGCGCCACGGCCAGACAAGCGCCCGTGGTGGCGAGCAGGCCGGCAGGCACCCACAAAAGGCCTGGCCCGCAGACGCTCGGGCGGAAGGCGGCGCACCAAGCCGCCTGCGCGCAGAGGGCCGCAACCCAGCCGGGCGCGACTGCCGCGCCGACCGCCCCCGCGGCAGGCACGTTGGTGAGGTAGAGCATCATCAGCCACTCGCCCGCGAAGATTGGGCCCCAAATGGCAAACGCCCAGCCGCTCGGTGTGAACAGGTTGGCGGTGGCCGCGCATGCCTTCTCCGCGGCCATGGCGCGGCGGCTGTCGTACCGGCCCGGAACCATCACCGCGAGGTTGTTGGCGACCCAGGCCGCGGCCACGGCCACCTGCCATCGCTGCGGTAGCGGAAGCGCTTCGGGCGCCGAGGCTGCCGGAGCGGAGACGTACCCAAGGCTCTGCAGCAGCGACGGTGCCGGCGCGGGGACGGCGGCGGGAAGGGTGACGTAGGCGTAAGCTACTCGCAGAAGCGTTGGCACCACGGCCCAGGCAACCACGTACGCCGCAAACTTGAGGGAGAGCCTCGCCTCGTCGCGCTTTGGCTTACCGCTGCCGGCCGCCCGAGTCGCGCCGCCGCGCAGGCTCCAGAGACGCGCTCCGGCGCTCGACAGCCTCGGTGATGCGTGTTCGTGGCGGTAGGTGAGGGCTGCGGCGGAGCCGAGCGAGGCGAGCGCGAGCAGTCGCACGAACATTTGCGCCTGATGCGTAAAATTCTTTTTAGACGACAGGTACGAGCTTCTAAGATTTTTTTGAGCTAGACTTCGTTGTTAATGGAACAAGCGAAGGCACACACGACATGACGCCAAACACACGATTGCACGCACCGCACCGCACCTTGCACCCGCGCCCGCCGCCCCCCCGACCCTCGCCCCGCTAGATTTTTTTCCTTCCTTCCTTGCGTAACTGCCCAATCCCTTCCTTGCAGGCCCAAACCCCTCATAGAGCACAAGACCCTGGAGGGCTATAGCCAAGGGCATAAGCCCTATAGGGTAGCCCTCCCTAGGGCTATATATAGCCCTTTCTTTGGGCTCTCAGGCCCTGAGGGAGGGTGTAGAGGATGTAGAGTGTAGAGCGCTGTAGAGCTGTAGAGCTGTAGAGCGCTCTGGAGCGCTGTAGAGCTGTAGAGCTCTACATCCGGCGCATGACGATGTGAGCCCGATGTAGAGCGATGTAGAGCGCGATTTTGCTGTAGAGTTTGTTGTAGAGGCTCTACAGCCAAACCGAGCCGCGCTAATGGGGTGTCTCCGAGCTTACTGGAGCTCTGATGGACGGCCCTGACTATCACTGACACACAGATAGTCACTCTGACGGCACACAACACCCTATTAACTGCGTCATGACCAGCCTGCCATGCGTCGCCGGTGCCGCATTCGTCGCTGTGCTTCTTTAGCAGGCGGTGGACTGTCGGCTGCGAGGACGGTCGCATTTGCGCGAGGCGAGGCGATCGTTGTTGAGCGTTGCATGCGCCATGACTCGCGCCAGCGCGTGCGTGCGGGAGCTCCTGGGTTGAGTCCAGGCGAGTTGCGCTGGCCACTATCGCTACGCCGAGCCGAGCTGACGCGCCGAGGCGCCGGCCAGTCGCAGCCGTGAGGCATGCCACAGCAGCAGAGGCACCTGCCACCCATTGGGCGGGCAGACAGAAGGCCAGGGCAGCACTGGCAAGTGCAACGCGCCTCATCGTTGGAGAGCGACCGTGCCTCGTTCGCCGCTTATGATGTAGAGTTTGTTGTAGAGATTTCACGTTGTAGAGCGCCTCTACATCGCTCTACATCGGACTCACATCGTCACGCGCCGGATGTAGAGCTCTACAGCTCTACAGCGCTCTCCAGCTCTACAGCTCTACAGCGCTCTACACCCTCCCTCAGCTCAGGCCCCTTAGAGTCCGAATCTGGCCTCCGTTTCCTTGGCGGACGCTGCGGTGTGGAGCTGCGGGCAGCGTCAGGCGTGGTAGAAGAGATGTAAAGCGGTTCGCTCGAGCTGGTCGGGGCACAGCTCGGGGCACGTTCCTAGAGGGCGCTTTAGATGGAAGATGGAGGGAGCGTGCCCAGGAGAGCTGTGCGATTGTATCAGCGATGTCCAGCGAGCTGCTGTCCGGCTTCGATGCGCCTTCTCCCTCCAACAGAATAGGAACTTTCGTCCTCGCCGATCGCGCCTTGCGTGCACTAACGGAGCGGACGGGGCATCGAACTACTAGCGATCGCGCGCCTAGCAATCCCTGTGGGCGTCCAGGACAGGGAGGAGGAGGCCGCGTCAGGAGGCTGCCGCACAACGCACGCATGCACGCGGCGCAGGTCCTGCACGCGCGCAAGCCAAGAAACCCCTGCACAGCCCTAATGGAGGCCTTGCGAGCGGCGAGAGCACACGGCTGAAGCTTGCTGTGCACATTCGACGCGGCGACCTTCTCGACTATCTAGCAGCACTCCTGTCGGATCAGGAGCGCTCTTGGCAGGCCAAGGCGCGTCTCATACCCAACGACGCCTACGTCGCGCTGATTTCCGACATTGTGAGACGGCTAAGGAAAGCCGAGCCCTCACGAGGTGTCGATCTGGAGCTGCACGCGGAGGGTGGGCGCGAACAGCCCGTCCGGGTGCCGGACGTCGATGGCGACAGAGGTGGACCGACTTTTCTGCGTTTGAGCACGGGGGGATGCGACCTCTGTCCGACTGGGCACCAGAAGTACCATCGCGGCGCTCCGATCCATATGCGCCTCCGACGTCTTTGTCGCCAGACCAAGTGGGTTCTCTCCTCCGCGGCCGCTGGTCTTGTATATTGTGCCGTTTTGGCTCAACTACTCTTGTGTGCCCAAGGCTCACGCGCTGAGACGGGCCGACGAGGCCAGCTTTTTGGTCGGGACAGGCAAAGCAAAGATGTCGTTTGCGCTCTCATCGAGGATCGCGCTCCCCGCTGCCACTGCGCACCTCCTGGCGCCGTGCTCGAGGCGCTGGTACGACGGAACGCATGACCCATGATCGTGGACTAGACCGTATTATCTGTCACACGAATACTGCGGCAAAACCAAACGAAGGACTATAGTTAGACAACATGATTTCAGGGCTCGTGCCACCTGACGCTGACCGGAGAGCAGACGGAGGTCGCAGGCGTCGTACCGAGCGCATAGTCGGAGATAGCCGCGCTATGTAGGTTATCCAACAACGCGAGGAGAGGAACCGACATAGAATAACTCCCACCGTAAGGTGTGGGACGTGACGCGATGGCCGGATCGTTACGTCCGTCCGTGCGCGGAACTCGTGTGCTGTGTCGGACCCTCGCGCCCCCAGGCGCCCGAGTCCCGTTCTCGTCTGCCACTCGTAGTTTGAGATGGCTAACCCAAAGTACACCTCGCGATCGAGTTCACCTCACCAGACGACGGCGTCGTTGTTTGCAAACGCCTTGTATTGGTTGATGAGGCCGTCGCACGCCCAATATGTGCCGGTCGTCTCAATCGCCCGCGAAACGGCGCCTTGAAATGCCGCTTTGGTCTTGACGCAGACGCTGTCTTCGATTTTGAGACGGAGAGGCCCGGCCTCGTACTCCACCTCGGACACCTTTTTGATCGCTTGCTTTGACAGAAGAAGAATGGCGGTAATCTCGGGTGGCGTAATCTTGAAAGATTCTTTGCACGCGTCGTTCTCGGCTTCGACATCAAAGTTGCATACCGAGTCGGGCACCTTCATCGCGACCGCAACATGAACGAGGGCCGGGTCGTCGCAAAGGGCGAGCGAGTCCGCAGCGAGGGCTGCGTGAACAAGCTCGTAAATGACATCCGACATATCGACTACGCTGCCAACAGGCGTTCGAGGCGGAGGATCCTTTTCCTGTAAGACGGCGTGCGAGCGTCAGAGACGCGTAAACGGGATGAGCATGGCGTGGGGCTGGCTTCTGGCGTCGCGGGAGCGCAGTGAGCATGGAGGCGATTCGCGGCTGTGCGCTGGGCCGTCGCTCTGCCCGCGATCCGGGTGTGCGCCAGATTCGTGTCGCTCGCGCCTCGGAGCGAACCGCGCGCGGGGCGTTCGCAGCACACGGCGGGCACACGCACGAGCGCGCTGCAGCGCATGGGATGGGGGGCGAAGCGGCCGGGCACGCTCGCGCAAAGGCCAACACGCGCCGCATCGCGCGGGGCGTGGGGAGAGGCGAGGGAGCACAACCGAGGAACGCTGAAGAATTTTTTTCCTCGTTCGAGTCACCGTTCACAGCCTTCTCGAGGTTCTCGAGGTAGATATCCTTTGGCCGCGTTGGGTAGCGAGGTTCACAGCCTTGTTATTGACAAGAAAATACGTCCTTTCGCGCTATGCGCTGGTCTGTGAGAGGTTGAGGTGCGAGCCCTGGAGGCCCTGGGGATGGGGTGAGACTACCCGCGGGCCTAGAAGGCCTTCACACAAAAACACAACCACGGACCCAAGACGCACAAGCTCAGACAGTCGAGAAAGGGATGGACAGCATCGTTCACACAAACGCACAACCCCGGGCCCCGAAATAGCACCAGTGACAGTCAGACATGCAACACGGGGACCCAGGGAAGGCGAGCAAAAACCTTATCGCGCGCGCTAGCGACGCCGACTCGGAGGCCGCACCGGTCAGGCGCGCAGCCGGAGAGAGAGGGAGGCGCTCAATCACCGTTCACACACAAAAACACAACCCCGGACCCAAGACGCACAGTCACCGTTCACACAAAAACAATGGTTGATGGGATCCCATGCTGCAAGTTGGTCGGCGTGGAGACCGACATTGGCTCTTACACCGGCCTGCTTGACATGGTGGAGAGCCGTTCGTAGACACCCCACGTGTGAGAGCATCAGCGAAGCGCTCCACAACTACGCGGTCAACATCGGGACCTGGAGGGAGCAGGCTGTCTTGGACTTGATGCAGAAGGTGGTGGATCAGATCCCTCCCCCGTCGTCGGCGCCGTCGTCGGCGCCGCCGTCGCAGCTGCCGTCGCAGCCGCCGCCGTCGTCGCCATCGCCGTCGCCACAGTCCAGCTGGTTGGCGTCGGCATTGGCGTCGGCGTCAGCCGCGATCGGCGTCAACGGGCTAGTCAATGGGGGCGGGTAGTGAGCGAGGGAGCGCCGCGCCGGAAGTGTGAGCGAGCGGAGCGTGGTGTAGAGAGCTGTGGTCTGTGTCCAATGCGTACAGTTGCGAAAAGCGTGTCGAATGAGATTGCCTCGCATGATTTCTGTTTAGCACGACTCCTTCTGCGACCGGGGACCGACCGGACCGCGATCCGGCCGCCCCCCCAAAAGGTGTGTCCTTCTTGCACATGCCTGATCATGCCTTCTTCCTTCTTGCAGTCCGCCCATTCCAAACGACTCTAACGAGGCGCGAGTGAAGCCGCTTTCGTCTCCCGCTGACCTATCTGCAAGCCAATGCCGCGTCGCGCATATGGCATCACTTAACGTAAGCTGAACACCGGCAGGAGCTACTGGCAGTACACATTCGGTGTGAAACGAGAGACGAAAGAGAGTGCTCCCAGCCTCTACACAACGAGGCCTTGCTCACCCCAAGTCTAAACAGCACCGTTGCCAATTGGCGCTGATTTCAGCTGCTCTGGCGCGCTCCCGCCCCCGCCACGCCGAGCTCGCACCACATTCCGCCGCACTCAATCTCGCACCGCGCCCCAGAAGAGCAGTAGGGCGACTCGGGACAGCTGCCGCACTTGTCAAAGGAGCAGCACGCGCGCGGCGCCGATGGGCCGGCGGAGGCGCCGCCGCGTGACCGTGGCGAGCGCGCCGCCGCCGCCGCCAGCTGGGGCGTGGCCTCACGGCAAAAGGCGCACCCGGCGCACTTTCGCGAGGCGCAAGCCGCCCCTGGGGCGGTGGCGTGGCAAAAGCCGTTGCAGACGAGCGGCGGGGGAGGCGGCGGCGGCGCCGCGCACTTCTCAAACTCGAGGTCGTCGATCGAAATGTCGGAGAGGTAGCCATCGCCCACGGTCCCGACGAAGCGCAGGCTCGCTCCGCCGGTGCGGCGCATCGGCGGCGTCAGCGGCACGAGGGCCCTCCGCCACGCGTCTGCGGTGGATCCGCCGGCGCTCTGCCCGTCGGCGCGCCAGAGGGTGGCCCACGCCTCGCCTTCCGCCGTCCGAGCCCGCAGCTCGAGCGATCCCATCGACACGCCGAACATGTGAAAGGAGAAGCCCACAGAGGCGACACACTCCAGAGGCAGCGGCCCTCCGAGCCACGCCTCGTCGCCCAGCACGCGGCCGCTCGCCTCGACATAGTAGTAGTGGCCGCCGGCGAAGGCGGGCGCGGGCTGCTCGTGGCGACGCTTGCCCGACCGCTCCTGCCTGGTGGCGGCCGGAGCCGTGTGCGTGTGGTCCCGCGCTGGCCCGGTGAGCGGCCTGCCAGCCTCGAGCGTGCGCGAGGGCGGAGGACCAACCTGCCACGTCCACGGCAGGTCGCTGCCCGGAATGTCGGCGGACCAGCCGTCGGGCAGCGCCTCAAAGTCGTACGCCAAATACGGTGGCGGCGAGGGAGGTGGGCTCGGCGGGTGAGGCGGCGGCGGCGGTCGGGGCGGCAGCGGTGGCGGCGGGGGCGGCGGCGTGCGGAGTCTGAGGAGGTGGGCACGAACCGCGGCGACCTCTCGGTCGTTCATGGTGAGGAGTGGGTCCTCGGCGGCGGCGGCAACCACTGAGAGGGAGAGAGCGCGCAGCAGCATACACACACGTCTATGCACACACACGAGGAGCGCGCCGCGAGTAGGGAGGGGTGGAAGCGCCCGCCGCCGCCGTCGCCGTCTCGATGGAGGCACGCACATAAAATAAACGTGGCCCCTCTGAGACGAGATGGGATTTAGGCATTAGGGACATGTGTCCCCGCCCTGCACGATCTTGGTGTGGGGGATCTTCAATCCGTGGCCCCTAGGCACGCACAGCGATCGTCTGTAGTCTGTTTCACTGTCGTATGAGTGTAAGTACGTTAGCTCGCACCGCCTCATCAGCCCTCTTCATCACTCATACTTGCCCTGGATTCCCGGGCGCGCTGGAGGTGCCGGCGCCGGCGCGCCGGGCGCCGCCGCGCGCCGGCCGGGCACACCGGCGCGGCCGCGCCCCTTTGAGCGTTGGAACCCCCGCGCCCTTGGTGCCTTGAAGCCTTGTGTGCTCTGGGCCGGCGCGGGGCCCCCCGGACGCCGGAGGCACCGTGCGCCGCGCCGCAGTGCGGAAACGGGGCCCCGGCGCTCAGAGTCGCTCAGAGCACCGACTTCCCGAATGGTTACGGTTGGTTAGAGGGCAGATTTAGAGAGATCTCGAGGAGTACACACAGATAGACCCTCCAACCATCAGAAAACTCCGACCTGATCGGTCGTACTGACCGCCGACAGATCACTCCAGACAGCAGACAGGCCGACGTCTGCACGCGGCCGGCCGGGCGAGAGGCTTGACACGATCCGACCCTGCGACCCTGACGCTGCTGCTCTAGCTATCAGCCATGGACTGCTGACTGCTGCCACAATGTGCGACCTGTGCTGGCCCACTTGGCGGCCTTCCCGGTCAGTGGTGAGGCGCAGTTCAGAGCTGTCGATGGCGCGATGCCGCACTGGTCCCACATTGGTGACACGATACCACCAAGTTTGCCGGTCCAAGAGAGAGGCACCGGCGCTGTCCTGAGAAGGTGCATGGTCCCTCTTGACTGCCCATGCGCGCGAGGCTGTGTAGGCATAGCCTCGAGAGTGCCAGCAGCCAATCCGAGGCAGTTTGTGACGCGCATTGCGCCAGAAGCGTGCACGCAGCTGGAATGACACCTTCCTACTGGCCGTACGATCAGGTCGTCACTGAATGCTTGATACTAAGGCCGCGAGCTAGGCAGGTGGTCAATTGTGCAGCATGGCACGGTCAGCAGCGCCGACAGGCTGTCGCAAGGCGTGATAGCATGGCCGCAAGTACGCCGAATTCCCATGAAAACAAGTAAAAAATTGCCAAAAAAGAAAAATCCCGAAAAAATCGGCGCCTGCGGCGGGCCATGGGACCCCATCCCCCCCCCGCATGGACACCCTCTGGGGCCCCCGCGCCGGCCCAGAGCTTGTGTGTAGGCTGTACGTCGCATTACGTGTACTCTCTATGCACATAGTTCGTCTCACAAGGAAGACATGGACTCTGGGGAGGGCACTCAGCAGACGCGCGCGTGGGCTGACTTCCCAGGGGTCCGTCTCCTCCCTGACGTGTGTGTGCGTGTGCTGCATGCCCAGTGGAGGACGCTCGAGGTCAGGGGAACGGTCCGAACGTCGTCTAGGCTCAGGGGCCAAACTTTGGCGTCCACGGCTCGGTCCACTCTCTCCGCGACTTGTCCGTGTGCGGCACCACGTCGAAAAACATGTCGTAAAAGATGTGGCCCGGGGTCTTCGGCGCCGCGGGTTTGGAGCAGCACCAAAGCGTGGTGTACCACATCATCTCCTGCCGCACGCGCGTCGCGTCCGCCGGCGGCAGCGTGGCGTACAGGTCCGGCATCCGCGCGAAGTGCAGCACGCGCGCGGTGGCGGCGGCGAGCGGCGCGAGCGACGCCGCGGAGAGGTCGGCGGGCGGGTCGGGGAAAGCGAGCGACTGGCGGACCGCGTCCGGGGTGCGCGAGTTGTTGAGGAAGGAGAACTCTCGCAGCACGCCTTCGAGGCCGCCGAGCGGGCGGCCTGCCGGGTCCCTCGCGAGCCTCGAGTCGGGCAGCGCGTGCTTCGAGATCCCGTTCTCGAGGTCGAGCACGTGGTCGAGCGGGCAAGGCTCGACAGGCAGCCTCGTGTCCGAGCCGGGGATGGTGCCGTTGTGGGGCGCCCAGAAGCGGTCGAGTCCGCACGTCAGCGGGGGCACGATCAGCAGACGGCCGAGGCGCGCCGCGAGCAGAAAGGCGGCTCGCAGCTGCACCAGCTGGTGGTGGACCACCTCAAAGTGCGCCGCCACGCCCATCACGCCGGCGGGCCGCAGCAGCTCGCGCCGCACCACCGGGACGTACGTGAGGAAGGAGCGGCCGGGGGGGTCGAAGTAGGCGGCGTCGTCCGCCCAGAGCATCGCCTCGCGCAGCCGGTGCGTCTTGCCGACGGCGCCAGAGTACTGGAAGGTCGTGTGGACCGAGTAGGGCACGACACCGCGCCGCTGCGGCATGCGCTGCACGAAATAGGTGTGGCCGCCGCAGAAGGTTGCGACGGGCAGGATGCCGATGGTGACGGTGCCGTTGTAGCCGCGGAAGAGGCGCTTGTCCACCTCGGCCTGCGGGATGGCGTCGGCGCCGCTGGTCTCGAAGCGAAGCCGCCCAATCTTGAAGACGTCCTTGAACAGGTTTTGGTCCCACAGGTCGGGGTGCTCCTCGCACATCCTCTTCCAGTGCGCGATGGCCGGCAGGGCGGAGTGGTGGAGGTAGAAGTAGCCGATGTTCCAGGCGGAGGACGAGGCTCTCTTCGGGAGCTCGAGCGACTCGGCGGCGGCGTCGTCGGTGGCCATCAGGTGGTCGGAGGTGACGAGCACCTGAGCCTCTGGCCGCAGCCTCATCACAAACGGCGTCGGGTCGCGCGTGATGAGCGCGTCTGCGTCGGTGACGATTGGGTCGGCGCCGGCGGAGAGGAGAGAGAGGATGAGCTCGCACTTCCGCAAGCCGAGCTTGCGGAAGTTCTTCGTGCCCCAGCCGTAGTCCGCAGTGGTAAGTCCCGACTCCATGTCGAAGGTCGGCACCTTCTTGCTCGCCAGCAGCTCGAGCGCTTTGCCGTCCATCGCGCCCACGAGGTAGTTGGACAGGCCGAGGCGCACGACGTGCCCCGACCAGGTGAGCCCGTAGTCGCAGCGCTGAAAGTTGACGAATGTGACGAGGATGATGTTGTGCGCGTTGCAGCGCGAGCGGATCAGCTCGCGCGTGAGCCGGTACGCCGCCCTGCCGACGGAGGCGTTGGAGGCGGCCGGAGGATGCGAGGCCGTCTCCGGAGGGTGAGAGGCTACCGCCTGCTGCGGCGGCTGCTGCGCCTGACGCTGCAGCTCCGCCGCCGCAGCCGCCGCCGCCCCCATCTGCGCCACCTCCTTCTCGTCCTTTGCCTCTTGCCGCTTCTTGAGCTTCGCCTGCAGCTCGGCGATCTGCTCGCGCAGCCGCTCGTTCTCGTCGCGGTAGGTGAGGCTCGGCGCCGGTTTCATGCTAATGACCGTGTTGCCCGGCAGCTGCGCGGACGGACGCAAGTACGGTGCGAGCAGATAGAGCGCCATCACGGCGCACACGGCGGCGACGCTCTTGACGCCAAAGCCGCCGCCGCCGCGAGGCCGGCTGGTCGAGCCTCCGACCAGAGGCTGGCTCTCCTCCGACTGTCCCATCTTGCCTGATGGCAGCGCACAGGCGCAGGCAAGCCAACCGCGCACCGCCGACCCTTCGCCACGCCAGCAAAGCTGGCCAGGCAGAAGAGAAAGAAACCCGAGGCACGCTACCCAAGCCGGATTTTTATATAGCAGCTCCTCTCTACCGAGAGCTGTCTTTCTCGCCCGAGGCTCGCCGTGGCCCCACACGGCAGCCTCTGCTCGCGTTTTCGAGCCAGGACCTTCGTCCGGGCCCATGGCCGGCACGCCATCGTCGATTCCACGCGCTCGGCTCCACCGGCTTGCTGTGCGGACGGCTTCTTGTCGCTCTCGTCGAGAGCGTTTTGGCGGCCCGGCGGGTGTGAGAATCTGTGTCGTCTGATGTGTCACTGTGTACGTCACATCGGTCTTGATAACAAGCAAGGGCACTCGAGCGACGCGCCCAAGCCGCAGGCGGCGCAGTGTGGTGGAGGGGAGGAGCGGCGGCCATCGGGGCGGCGGCGAGCACGCAGCGGCGTGGCGGGGGCGGGGGGGCGGGGGCGGGCGACGCGGGCGGCCGCCGCTGCTCCGCGCCGTCGACCCACACCTGCGGAGCAGAGGCAGGCAGCAGGGTCAAGGTGGTCAGCGCGGGCGTCCGGCGGAGAGCTCCGGCTGACGTCTCGTGCGCTGTCTCGCGAGGCAAAAGAGCGGCGCGCAGCCAGGGCGAGTCCGTGTCTGGAGCAGAGAGGCTCGCCGCGCCGCGGGCGGGCACAAGCTGGAGGACAACCTGTGTCTTTGCGAAGCCAAGCGACGAGAGGGAATCGCTGAGGAGATCGAGTCGCAAATTCTGGGAACGATCGTGCCGAGAGTGAACGAGAGAAAGAGAAAAATGAATGGCGCAAAGAGAAAAATGAAAACACCTGCACCCACCGCCCCTGCCACCCTCGGCGTGTGCCTCGGCCGCCCCTGTCAGTGTGCCTGCGGTAGACAGGACAGCAAGTGGGTGGCGAAGGCGTTAGTTTGGGGGGGAACGTCCCGCAAATTCCGACCTCGTGAAAGAATTTCAAACTAGAGGCGGCGCTCCCTCTCTGCCGCCTGCACCGCCTGCACCGCCTCACGCTGCGCCGCAGCGGAGTGCGAGCGACCCCGCTGCTCGACGAGCTCACCCTGCTCACCACCAGTCGTAGCGCCACCACCAGTGCGTGCAGCAGCCCGCGCGCCGCGCTCACCCTCGGCAGCCCGCTGCCCCACCTGGCCACTGGGGTCGCCTGACGGCTCGTGCATCTGTTGCACAAGAGAGAGGGTGAGAGAGCGCCTCGTGAGGGCGCCAGCGAGCGAGACGCACCGAGGTCACAGTCAAGTGGTCGTAGTGCACACTGCCTCGCAGCACGGCGTGGATCGTCTCTCACACCCAGACGTTGACGTTGAACAGGAACATGGTGCCGACGATCTCTGGCCAGCCACCCCAGCGCGATCCCTGTCGCTGAATGTCTGCGTACTTCTCCGCCGTCAGACTCTCACTGAACTCTCGCTGCAGCCATGTCTCGAGAGTTGCGCCATTGTAGCTCCGCTGCCCGTTGAGGTTGACTCGTGCTCTGCGTCGACCGCGCGCGAGCGCAGCTTCGAAATCTTCTTGGTCTCCTCGTCGAGCTTGGCCTCCGCGGAGCGCGCGCGCGCGTTCGCCCGGTTGCGCCAGTTCTTGAGCTGCGTGAGCCGCCCGGCGAGCACGCCCTCCGCGGCTTTAATGGCATGGGCGCGCACGGCAGCAGCGCGCTCCGCCTCTGCAGCGCGGACGCGCTCCAACTTCTTCTTGGTCGCCGCCTGCACCTTCGCGACGGCGGCGGCGCGCTGCGCCGCCGCCGTCCGCAGCTGGTGCGCAAGCTTGTCGCGCTGCGCGCCGACGGCGCGCCGCCTGGCCTGCGAGTCCTCGAGAGCCGCAAGCAGCTCCGGTTTCCTCATCTCCTTGACGGGCGGCGGGCTCGCGGCGGCGGCAGCCTCCATGAGCAGCAGCTCGAGCCGCACGCGGGAGAGCTCGAGCAGCTCGGCGGCGGGCACGGCGAGCAGCACGCTGCGCTTCTGGTAGCGGCCTTTGAGCGCTTTGATGCGGAGGACGCTGTTCTCGTCTCTGACGTTCTTCAAGTACGTCTCCATCTCACGCAGCTGCGGGCACGACGCGCAAAGGCCGAGCTTGTGCACGGCGACGGCGAGCGTGCCCTTGTGCGAGCGGGCCTTGAGCAGCGCCTCGTTGAGCACATCGAGCGGCCGGTCGCTGCCGACGCGCCAGTCGGTAGGCGCCGCCCAGTGCGGCGCGAGCCGGTACACCTCTCTCTGCTCGAGCACACGCGTGCGCCAGCGCACGAGCGGCCGCGGCTCGAGGAAGAGGAGCATTGACAGCGCAGCGATCGCGTGCTCGCCGGCGGAGGGCCGGCACGAGTCGCCCACGGCGAAGAACATGTCTGGCGGCGCGGTCGGCGCCGGTTCGTCGGGCGGCGCCGCGGGCTGCAGCGCGGTGCGAAGAGCGGCGAGGGCGGCGAGGGCCTCATGCCGCTTCTCCGGTGGAGCAGCGTCCAGAGCGCCTGCGCGAGGTATGCAGTGGGCAAGTCAGATATGGCGAGGGTTGCGCGAGGCCATCGTTGCGAGTCCCACGCCTTGAAGCTCAGCAGAAATCAGACATTCAGGGCCTGCGTACGTACGGGGTCGAGAGTGGGCGCGATCAGTGCCTCGGAGCTCTTCGGAGGCGTCTCCCGTGGAATCGGCGGCTCACGCGCGTGTCAGGCCATCGGGCCCGGTCTCTCAGGCCACGCGGAGCCCACGGGGTCCGGCCGCAGGGCCGCGCAGAGCAGCGCAAGTGGCTTTGCACATATTTTGGCCAAGTGTCAGGGATGGTCAACCCAGCGAGAACGGGCGGAGGACGATCGTGTGAACGGAGGACGGCCCGTGTGCGGGCGAGGGGCGGGCGGCGGCGTCGCCCGCGGCCGGGGCGGGGCGGGGCGGGCGCAGGTGAAAGATTGTGCACACCCGTCGGAGCCATTTTCAGCCGTTGGCAATCGCCCAGGCTATCTTCCCTCCATCATCTCCAAACCCAGATTCCATCAACTGGAGACGCCGTCGGTTTTCCTACCAGGGGCTCTAGCCGAAGGGACGGAAGTTTTAGCTATTGATGTCGCCGCCAACTATAGCCTGGATTAGGATTGGCGCGAACTGCCGTCTATAGGAGGCGGACGGATGAGAAAGAAATAGGTCAAGGTATCCCAGAAAGAGAAGCGGGCGCGCAATCCACCTGAATAAAATAAAAACGGGCACCGCCAAAGGAAAGCCCCACGCTCGCACTCTAGCTAGCAGGCGCCGAGGCCGCAGCGCGCGTTGGAGGCGTGGTGTGCCGCCTCCTCCCGCGCGATCTCGCTATCGCTATCCTCCTCCTCACCCTCCTCACTCTCCTCACCCTCCTCCCCACTCTCCTCGCCACTCTCCTCCTCCGCGGCGGCGGTGGTGGTGGAGCGAGGCTGCTGGTGCTGCTCAGCAGAGGGCGCAGCACGCGCAGCGGGCGGGTCGACAAAGGTCGGCTCGGGCATATCCTCCTCGAGCTTGTCCAGCTGCTCAGTGAGACGCTTTGCCTTCGCCACAAGCCGACCGGGCACCTCCTCGCCGAGAGCCTCGTACTCCGCGATGGACTTCTTGGTCTGGCGAAGTGCCTCCTCGTAAACCGTCTCGAGCTGCGATCAGAGCAGGAGGGACGGGGCTGGGATGGGCTGGGGATGTGCGCAACGGTTGGGTGGAAGGGGAGGGAGGCGCACCTCCATCTTTCCCCGATGCGCCTGCATTCTCGCGGACTCGGCAACGAAAAAGTCGAACCGCTGCTCCTGCTCCGTCTTGGCCCTCGCCGTGACCTGCACCGGCGCGACCTGCGCTGGCTCCTTTAGCGCCCGCAGCAGCTCAAGCTGCATGTTTGCGCGCTTGTCGTTTCTCTTCCTGTCTTTGGGGAGAGGGTCCGACGCGCGCCGCTTGCTCGTGCCGTGGTGGCCAGTTCCCGGGGGCATGTCCTGCACAGCGGATTTGAGAAGGTCGTACGAGATGAGGACGCAGTAGAAGTAGAGCAAGGCCGCATCGTCGTGCACAAAGTTGCGGAAGTTGTTCGAGTAGACCTTGGTGCTGTCCTCGGCGAGCTTGTCCGGGTCGGCGCAATCGCCCATGCCTGACGTGCGGAAGTTGTGCAGCGCCTTCATGAGCAAGGTGCGCGCCTCCTTGAACTTGGCCGCGAGCTTCTCCGCATCCATGATCAAGCCGTTGTAGGTCGGGTCGAGCGACGCCTCCTCGAACATGTCGCTGTCGAAAGCGCTGACGTGAAGCACGGGATTGAACTCCGGGCTGTTGAAGGTGAGCGCGATATCCTGAAAGGCCGAGTCCTTGGCAGCACCGTCAATCTCGGCGCGTGTGCGCGGCGCATTGCGCTGCAGGAAGGCGTCCTTGTTGGCGACAATGGAGTGGGCGAGGCGAGTCAGGTGCCTGCCCTTCACCCAGCGCTTGGCAGCCGCCGGCGCTGCCTCGTCCTCGGTGACGGGCGCAGCGTCAGGCGCTGCTGCGGGGGCAGGTGCTGCTACGGCGGCTGGTGCCGGTGCCGGCGCCGCTGCTGCCGCATCTGCTGTAGCCGCCTCGTCGGGGATCGCGTGCGCCATCAGCCATTGGTAGCACTGCGGCTCGGACCAGTAGCTAGGCCTTGCCGTCGCGTCGCGCCGCTTGATCTCTGCGCGCAGCTCTGCCCGGCGAGGCTTCTTCGGTGCGCCAGCGCCCTTGGGCCACATACTCGGGATGGAGTACTGGAGAGAGCCTGGCTGAATCAAGCGCGCCGACGCAAGTCTCGCTGCGTCTAGCTGTTGCCCCTGCGCTGCAGGCTCGCCGCCAGCGGCCCCGTCTACGGCGGCTTCGCCGCCGGCTTCAGGTGCAGTCTCAGGGCCGCCAGCGGCCTGGGCGGCCTGGGCAAGACCCTCGAGGCCTGCGAGGTCGGCATCGAAGATCCCGGCACCGTACATGAGCCGGTGGCGGCGCTTGGACAAATGTGAGACCCAGCGCGACCCTAAGGAAAATTAGGCGCGGAGCACCGGCAACGCAGTGGCAAGCAAACCGTTAAATTTGCCGGGAGGTCTGATATTTGGGTCTCGGATTTCAAGATTAGAGACCCCCGGAGAGCTAACGAAGTGGCAAAAACAGGCTCTAAGAGTCTTGTTGTTTATGTTAGACGCTTTGGTACCTGTGTCGAACCTTTGTGCTGTGCGAGAGACGTCTTTGAATTCTTTTTCCTATCCAGGGCCGGGGAGCTAAGAAGCCAACCTTGTCTATTCTTTTTCATCATGGCGGACGGAGCTCACAGCTGACGCGCTGAACACGAGTGTGTGTGTATATGCTCTCCGCCGCCGCCGCCGGCATCGCCGCCTGGACGCTCGACGCCGGCGCGCGGCTCGCGGTCTCTGCGCCGGCTCGCCGCCACGGCGCTCAGTCCGCTCCCGCCTCCATCCTCGACCTCCCGAGCGCTGAGGCGTGGTGCACCGCCCGCGGCGTCCAGCCGGCGCACCTCTCCACCGTCTACCGGCACCTCTTTCGCCGCGAGGGCGCGCTCCACGCCGCGCCGCTGCACGCGGCCGGACTTCCAAAGGAGGCCGCGGCGGGGCTGTGCGAGGCCTTCGTCGGCGTGACCAGCAGAGTGGTCGAGACGGTGCACAGCGTCGGAGGGCTGAAGCTCGTGGTAGAGCTCGCGTCTGGGCGGCGCGTCGAGACGGTGTTGATCCTGCATGACCACGTCTCGTCGGGCAAGCAGCGCTGCACGGTCTGTGTCAGCTCGCAGGTCGGATGCAGTCGGGGCTGCACGTTTTGCGCGACGGGGACGATGACGCGGGCGGCGCAACTTTCGAGCGCTGAGATCCTGGAGCAGGTCTGGCACGCGCGGCAAGCCCTCAAGGAGGCGGGCTCGGCCGTCGCGATCCGAAACGTCGTCTTTATGGGGATGGGCGAGCCGCTCGACAACCTGGACGAGGTGCTGGCCGGTGTCCCACCTACTGGTGAAATCATCAGTCATTGATCATGGTCCATGAGTGTAGGTGCTGCACGCGCTGCGAGGACTGACGCGCCAGGCACTCTTCGACCTCGCAGCCAAACACCTCACGGTCTCCACCGTCGGCGCCTCGGCCGCTCAGATCCGCAGCCTCGCCGACGCCGCACCGCGGGTGAAGATCGCCCTCTCGCACCTCGGCTGCACCTCGGCTGCACCTCGGCTGCACCTCGGCTGCACCTCGGCTGCACCTCGGCCGCACCTCCTCGGCTGCACCTCGGCTGCACCTCGGCTGCACCTCGGCTGCACCTCGGCTGCACCTCGGCTGCACCTCGGCTGCACCTCGGCTGCACCTCGGCTGCACCTCGGCTGCACCTCGGCTGCACCTCGGCTGCACCTCGGCTGCACCTCGGCTGCACCTCGGCTGCACCTCGGCTGCACCTCGGCTGCATCTCGGCTGCATCTCGGCTGCACCTCGGCTGCACCTCGGCTGCACCTCGGCTGCACCTCGGCTAGGTGAAGCTCGCCCTCTCGCTGCACGGAGCCTCGCAGGAGGTGCGGCAGGCGCTGATCCCGAGCGCCGCGCCCTTTGCCGAACTGGACGAGGCGCTCGACTACCACATTGCAACCCTTCACATGCACATGAGTAATGTGATGTCATACTGATACTAACTGGCCATCAATGTATAATCTTGACGTCTGAACTGGACGAGGCGCTCGACTACCACGCGCGCACGACCGGCCAAGGCCTGTGCGTCGAGTACCTCCTCATCGACGGCGTCAACGACGCCCCCGCGCACGCCCATGACCTCGTCGGCTGGTGCGCTGAGCGAGAGCGGGCGGGCGGCGCGGCGGCGTTTGTGAACCTGATCCCGTACAACCCGACCTCCGCCGGCGAGCTGCGAGGGTACGCGACGCCGCCCGAGGAGAAGGTGGCCGCCTTCCACGCGCAGCTGCGGGCGTCGGGGCTCAGTGCGCTGGTCCGTTGGACGAGCGCGAGCGGGAGGGACGCCAACGGCGCGTGCGGACAGTTGGTGGTAGAGGCTCCGCCGCCTCCGCCGCCTTCGCCTCGGCCGGAGGCGGAGGGGAGGGAAGAGACGGAGGGGGAGGACAGCTGGGTGGGGCGGAGGGTGGCGGCGGAGGGGCGCAGCTTTGCCCGCCGGCGCGAAGGGGCGAGGGAGGCGAGGGTGCGCGGGTGGGCGGAAGAGGCGGCAAAACGACGCAGCGCAGAGTGGGCCGCTTCAGACCCCCGGCCCCCGCCCTCGTCCTCACCGCCGCCGCCGCGGCCGCGTGGCGGGGCAGAGAGGAGGAGTGGGCGGCTGGAGATGAGACTCGGCGAGGCTGGCGAGGCTGGCGAGGCTGGCGAGGCGGCGGCGGCGGTTGGTGCGGCGGGCGAGGGTGCCGGCGTGGCTGGAGAGGCGGCGGAGGGGCCGCTTCAGCTGCTGGTGCGCCCGACGTGGTGTGATTGTTGAGCTCTGAGGGATGAGTGGTGAAGGGTCGAGTCCTAGATGCGCCCCGCCCTAGGTGAGCCCCCCCGAGGTGCTGCGCGCTGCGTTCGGCTGGCGGAAGCTAAGCCACGCCGCGTCGGACAAGGGGGACGGGGTGTGGTCGCTGCTCCGCAAGGGGGTCGACCCGAGGTCCGAGGGCGAGCTGACAGAGTGGAGCCCGAACCTGTACTCGCCGAGCTTGCGGCGGCGCCTCGAAGCCGACTGCGGCCCAGTGTGCGCGGGGGCGGTGAGCGACAGCTCCATCGCTTCGGATGGGACGCAGAAGCTGCTGCTGAGGCTCGAGGACGGGCTCGCCGTCGAGTGCGTCCTGATCCCGATGGTCGGGGGCAAGACGACGTCGCTCTGCATCTCGTCGCAGGTCGGCTGCTCGCGCGGCTGCACCTTCTGCTCGACGGGCACGATGGGCCTGCTGCGCAACTTGCGCGCAGAGGAGATCCTGGCGCAGGTCTGGCTCGCGCTGCGCACGATTCGGCAGCGTCGCTTGCCGCCGCTCGTCAACGTCGTCTTTATGGGGATGGGCGAGCCGCTCAACAACCTGGACGAGGTGCGCCGGGCGGTCGAGCTGCTGGTGCACCCAAAGGCGTTTGCTCTCTCCGCCCGCTGCGTGTGCGTCTCGACGGTGGGCCCGTCGCCGGCGCACATTCGGCGCGCTGCGGAGGCGCTGCCCTGCCGGCTTGCCTGGTCTGTGCACGCGGCGGACGACGCGCTGCGCAAGACGCTGGTGCCGACGACACGCCACTCGATGGGCGAGCTGCGCGACGCCTTCCTCGCATCGCTCGCCACCAAGCCCGCGAGGCTGCGCGGGCTGGTCGTCGAGCTCGCGCTGCTCGAAGGCGTCAACGACTCGCCGGCGCACGCGGAGCAGAGAAGAGACCAGACACTAGACGGGAGGAGCGCGCGAAGCAAATCTCGCACTCGCAGGCGCACGCGGAGCAGCTGGCCGCGCTGTTGCACCCTTTTGGGCGGGGCATGGTGCTGGCGAATCTGATCCCGTACAACTACAACGGCCTCGTGCACCGGACGGGACGAATGCTTCGTGTCTAAGTATTAAAGTTGTTTCTCCACAATGAATAGGCCTCGGGCTGCCGGACGGGACGCTCTTCCGCCAGCCGTCCGCACAGGCTGTCCACGCGTTCCAACAACGCCTCTGGGAGCACAAGCTGCTCTGCACGATCCGCGAGACCCGCGGCGACGACGAGCGGTCGGCGTGCGGCCAGCTGGCCACCAAGGCCGGGCAGTCGAAAGTCGTGCCGACCGACCAAGGCCGCATGAAGAGAGCCTCGAGACACGAGAGCTGAAGTGTGAAGCACGGGGCAATGTGTGCTAGAATGTTACAACATCACCCCGCGTACGTACAAATATCTAATATGTCTCACAAGAGAGATCTACCAATTCGTTGGAGAGCAGGGGTTGCGGCGCACCCCACATACTACACCGGTGTTGTGAGGTGGCACGTCTGGCGAGCGGGGAGAGGGGCAAAACAACGAAAAGAATGGAGAACGCGGATGTGTCATGCGACGAGTCATTCAGATCTGGCTCACCCCGCCAGGGCGGTACCTAGTCGACGCCCCTTGGCGGCCCGCCCTCAGAGATTGAGCGGGTAGCCCGCCCTCAGCGACTGCGGCTCCGCACCCTCCGCGCTCGCGCCGGGGCCGCGCAGAGACTTGGTCAGGCTGCCGACGGCGAGCAGCTTGCCGCGGCCTCGGCCACCCTTGGGGACGGCGTGCGCACGCACCTGAGAGTTGAGGCGAGGCGAGGCGAGGTGGAGTGGAGGTGAAGTGCAGGTGAAGTGCACTTCTCACACGCTGTAGGAGGGGCCGGTTTGTCCCTCGCGTCTCAACGCCACTGTCCAGCAGCATCTCAAGTGCAGGGCCCGGCGCACACACTTTCACCACCGCCGCGCAGCCTCGTGCAGACTCGTGCAGACTCGTGCAATCTCGCGCGATCTCGCACCTCCACCGTCGCCAGCCGGCCGCCGCGCTTGAGGACGGATGCCTCCCACACCACCTCGTCGCCTGTGGACGAGCGGAAGAGTTGATTCGTGCTCTTGGATGGACGCCCCACCACAACCGCCTCGTCGCCCTTCTTCGCCGGAGAGAGGTACTGCACGTCGAGCGACACGGCGACGCCGCACTCGCCCCCCTCGCCTGCTCATTACTTGACTCGTTGATGATTTGGTTCCGTGATGCGACGCCGCACTCGCCCCCCTCGCCGAGGGCGATCGCGGCCGTCCCGAGCGAGTCGATCACCTGCAAACGCAATCTCGGGTGATCTCGGCCGATCTCGGGTGATCTGCGTCGTCCCGAGCGAGTCGATCACCGACGCGGTGCAGCCGCCGTGCAGCGCGCCGTAGCCGTTCACGTGCGCAGGACCAACCTTGAAGCGCCAGCGGGCGGGGGACGCCACGCCGCCGCCGCCTGCCGCTGCCCCTTCTCCCGCAAAGCAGAGCGCGTCCTGCAGCGGCGACGACAACAACAATAATAATAGCAAGAATGATGATGATACGCATTCTTATCGACAACATCATCTGTTGTTGTAATTGTCATCGCTGCGACCTGCAGTGGCGCGTCCCAGCCGAGCAGGTCGTGCCCGATCTCGCCGAAGCGGCCAAAGTACTCCGTCTTGCCCTTCTCGTCGCGCGGCTCGGGCTCCGCCGCCGCCGCCGCGGCCTTGGCGGCGGCGCGTTGCCTCACCGGCGCCAAGTGCGCCAGCAGCCGCGCCGCAAGGGCGGGCCGCAGCGAGAGCAGAGGAGAGAGCGGCAGCGGAGGCACAACGTGCTTCACGTGCCAGCCGCGCGCCTGTCAATGAAGAGTGAGCCCTCCACAACGAATGAGGTACCGCGTGCTTCACGTGCCAGCCGCGCGCCATCAGGGCGCCGTCCGAGCCGCGGAAGAGCCTGCACTCGGTGTAGGCGAGCGTCGCGCCGAGCTTGAGCACGGTCGCCTGCAAAGTCCAACGTGAGGGAAGAATGATCCGCTAGTCGTGAATAATTACTCAGAAGCTCCGGTGCGGGGCGCGCAAGCCTCGATCCGGATTTTCTCGCCTGGTCCGCAGCCCGCGAGATAGCTGACGCCGAGCGAGGTGGAGACGCCGGGGAAGCCGCCGGCGGAGACGATCGCGAGGGTGGTGGACACGTCGACGGCCGAGGCGATGGCGCCGCCGTGCATCGACCGCAGGAAGTTGTGCAGCGCGGGCTCAAGCGTGAGCGAGAGCACAACCTTGCCGTCGTCGGGCGAGCCCTCAGCCTCGAGGAAGGCGGCCAGGTCGTACGGTGTCTTGCCGCCGCGCAACAGCGAGAGCAGCGCCCTGACCCGCTGCAGGCGGTGAGCAGAGGCCAGCTTGCGAGGCCTCCCCGGGAAGAGGCCTTTGGCGATGAGCGCTAGTGCCGCGGAACCGATCGCGGCGGCGATTGCGATTCGCGTCGAGACGGCTGCGAGCGCCGCCGAAACGACGCCGGCTCCGAGGAGGAGGTACATGGGACTGAGCAAAACTGCGAGATTTTCGGAAAAAGAAATTCGATCGAAAGAAAGAAATGCTGACTTGACCCGAGTGGCATGTGTGGGCGAAGAAGAATTCCGCGGCCCACACACGAAAAAAGAATTAAATTAAATACGCGCCGGGGGGAGGATTAGGCTTCTCTGGGGCTGCGGCATTAGCATGGAGGGCTCCTCCAGTACAAATCGATCGAGCTCGTGGGACGAGGAGAAAGGGAAAGGAAATCGACACACGGCTGGCGCTCCGGGGAAGTGAGTGTCGCTGTATGAAGGGGGACACGTCAGCACTGCGCACTTCCATCTACTTCAACATCGTCTTCGTCGGTCTGGACCCACATGGAGAGAGAGATTTTTAGCAATACCAAACAACACATGGACCGCTCGCAGCGCAAAGTCACCTGTCAGTCTGCATGGAGCGCGAGGTGCGCAAAGTCGCCCTCGATGAGAAGGGTGGTACACCGCGTACGTGGCTAGCCCAGTAGGTGCGTACACGGCGCCGTGCTGACTGCTGTCTCCTTTTGTAACGCGCTGTGCTGAAAAATGCAAAAAGGCACAAGCACGCGCGCTCTGTGCATGCATGTGTGTGCGCGCAGACCGCGGCATCGACCCGCAGAGGCCAGAGAGCAGGACCAGACACAGACACAGAGTCCACCCAGTCCGAGTGCCCGAAAAGCGAAGTCCAGACAGGCCGAGGTCCAGACGCGCACATGGGAGAGCGAGGGAGCCGAGAACGCGAGAGTACGCGCGGCCACCGCCACGGCCAACTAGTGGGGAGCGAATGCACGACCCCGCCAGGCCAAAGGGTTGGGGAGAGAAGAGAGTACGGACGGCGGTTGTCCGCAGCATGCGGGATTTCACGGCTACAAAGGCGAGATCTCGGAGGACGGGTAGGTGGCGGAGCAAATGACCGCCGAAGCCACATCCTGCAAAAAGGAGCGTAGAGGGTGAGTCCTGCAAACGCGAGTCGGCTATGAACAGACGAGAAGGCCACTGAGTGCGCTATGAAAAGATTGAGTGCGCTGACTACACTTAACTTAGTCCGTGCCGCCTACTTGCGCTCGGCCTTGGACTCGGGCCGTCTAGCCCAAAACCGCTCACATCGTGCGGCCATATCTTTGGCAGCCAGCTTGGGCGGCGGCAGCTCGTAGCTGCTGAGTACGAACGGAAGATTTTGTCCACGTATGTTCTTGCCGAGCTTGAACTCCTCCACCAAGCTTGGATCTGGAGGCACGAACCGGCGCTGCGCGCACGCCTCAGCAGTGGTTCTGTCGGTGGGGATTTTAAAGTCGAAAGGGTTGTCGAGGCATTTCGCCGGATCCTTGTAGTCTGGTCCCGGCGGCGAGGGTGAGGGCCGCGGCGACGAGCGCTTATTGCGGAGGGCGTCGCGCGCGTGACGTCCAAGTGCGGGCAGGATCAACTTCTCGACCGCTCCCTCCCTCTTGACGGAGTAGTTCAGCTTGCGAGCGTAGCCGCTCAGCAGCTCATGCAAGTAGCAGTGCAGCCCGTCGGCCGAGGTGGCCCAGCTCATGTATGCGTGTGCGTTGCGCACCATGCGCTGCAGCCGCGGCTGCACGGCGGGTGCCACCGCCGCGTGCAACAGCTCACCAAAGTTGGCCCGCGTCGCAAGGAGCAGGTGCACGCCGTGTCGCAGCCCGCCACAGACCGCCTGGGAGTAGTGTTCGGCGTCTCCGGAGAACTTGACGACCAGCGAGTTGGAGCTGAGGAAGGGCACGAGACGGCACGTGTAAGCGCACGGCACCGATGCTGTGGGGAGCAGCCGGTACTTGAACTGCTCCTCCGACGGCACTGTCACGTTCAGCTTGCCTCCTACCTTGATGAGGTCTTCACGGCTTGCCTGGACTTCCGCAGCACGAATGTCGGCGCCCTCCCAGGCGTCGGAAAAGGCGGCGTCGATGACGGGCGAACCGTGAGCGCTGGCGTTGACCAGCAAGAAGCGGGGGTCCACAAGCTGACGCACGCGGGGTTGGCCGTCCACGAGCTGTGTCAAACCATTGCCATCCCTGTCGGCTCCAGCAGCGTAGCCACATCCCCCCATCATCCAAGATGAGCCACGCCAAAAGGCAAGGGGGCGTTTGGCCTCCCACGAGATATCGCCTGTGCCATTCGTCAATCTCTTCTGTGCTGTGCTGGGTCCACAGAAGATAGTCGGCAGCGCCAGGCTGCACGTTTCCTCCGACGTGCCCTTTGCAAAGAGCGGTGGCCGACCAAAGCAAGCGTCGGCGGTCGGGGCGGCGCGGTTAATCCAAGGAGCATCCCCAAACGTAGAGGCAAGCTCAAAATCGTCCAATGGCGCCACTGCGGCGAGGGACAGTAGCATGCGCTGCATCGTACGGGCGTGACGGCCGTACTCGTGACCCACCGTGACAAAGTGTACGCGACGGCCGTGCACCGCGGCATACATCCAGTGTTTGCTGTCCACATAGTCTGCGCCGGCATCAAATTTGTTGTCAAGCTTCGAAGTACCAAACGAATACTGGAGCTGCGCTGGCCGGATCGAGCGATCGGCCCACTTGTGGAGGTCGGATCGAATGACATCACGCAGCTCGCATGACTTGCCCCCTTGCCTTTGGGCGCATGCGCCAGGCTCAAGCGAGACGGTGTTGTCGTCAAGCAGTGGCCACATTCGGACATCGGATGCACGCATGGAACCCCAGCAAGTGTGCGTGGCTGTAATCAGGAGCATGGTTCGCAAGCGGCCCAGGAGCACGTGCATCAGAATGGGAGTCTCCTTCCGTCGTCTTTGGCCATCGACGGCGAAGAGGGAAGCACGGCGGTCACACGCCACAAGTCGTGGGGAAAAAATGGCAGTCACAATTCCTGAATCGCGCTAAGCGGTGGCCTTGGCCGCGGCCGGGCGCGCGGGCTTCTTGGCGGCGCTTCTTGAGGCGGCTCTCGAGGTCGGCGAGCTTCCGCTTGCCCCCCGCCTCGTCCGGCGCGGCCGGCAGCACCATCTGGAACTCCAGCCAGGTTGTCGATGTCCCCGAGCGTGGTCGCCTCATCGAAGGTGCCGGTCTCCGTCTCGCGCCGGAGGAAGTAGTTGACCTCGTGGGAGAAGCCCGGGATCTTCTTGACGACCTGGTCCAGGATCTGTAGCAGTCGTGGGAGGTAATGAGTGGGAGGTCCGCCGATGGCGGCCAGTAGCGGGTGTTGGGGGGGGAGAGATCCGGCCAGGGGCGGGAACTATGTCGCGCGCACCTTGACGAGGTCTTTGGGGTGGACGATGTACCCCCTGATCTGGTACTGCACGTTCGACCAGCCCGGAGCGCGCACATATTTCTTGTTGGGCCGCTCCATTTCGCACTTGTCCTTCTACGTCTCACCCTGAAAGTCGAGAATCCGGTTCCGCGTCACATGCTGCGGCAGGTACGTGTTGATGCACCCCTGCGCCTCGGCCATCTCGTACATGCCGGCCTGGAGCGCGTCCTACTCCGACGGGAACTGGGGATCAGGACGGGCCCAGATGGGGAAGGGGAGGGGGGGAGGCTCACACCCGCAGCTCCTTGTCGTAGCCCATCTCGACGAGGGCGACGCCGGTCAGCATGACGGTCACGCTCACTTGGTTCTGAAGGAGGCGCAACGCGGGGTCAGGAAGGTGAGAGAGGGCGGCCGTGTAGCGGGAGCGCACCTCCTCGACGATCGTCTCGCCGAACTTGGAGTCCTTGAGCTTCTTGGACGCCTTGCCCGGCGTCTGGTTGCCGCCCGGCGTCTCCGCCATTTCGCCCTGTGTGGACAGAGGTGCGTGGGGCGATTCAGGAGTGCCTGGGACGGCGGTGCAGTATGGGGGCTGCAGGGCTGCTCACGAAGTACGCGCGTCCCTTCTGCGGGGTGCTTGCCATGGTGCTGCGGTGCCGAGCGGCAGAGAGGCCATGCCCAGGGTCAGCCATGAGAGGAGGCTTTTTCCATCCGTCCACCTGTACCTACTACCTTCCCAATCAATCAATCAACACCGCGTTGTGGCGCGCGAAAGAGAGAAGGAAGGAATCGAACAAACCTAAACGATCGATGGGTCACTATCAGCCCTTGGTACCAAAATCCTGAGGGGACCCTGCCTCTCCTCCTCCCACCCATCCCGCGTTTGGGTTGTCTTTTTTCTTTCTTTCTTTTTTATTTATTTACCAGCCCTTGGTCACCGTTGGTCCACCCTTAACAGAGATAGAAGTGTTTGTTGTACGCGAATGAATCTACTACTAACCGGAGCAGCATTGGTGTTACTTGCTCATGTAGATTCCATGCTGATTCCTTTATGTGTTTTTTCATAAACACACCTTGCGGTCATCCGGTGACAGATTGCGGTCATCCGGTCATCTGTCTGTCAGTCCGGCCCTCACGCCTGCACCAGGCGCCTGCATGGCGAGCGACTGGGAGTGTCCCATCTGCATGCTGCCCTTCGTGGACCTCATCCACGCGTGCGGAGACTCCACAGGAGCTCATCTGTTCTGCGCATCCTGTCTCACGAGATTCACCGGCAGCGGCTGCCCTCTGTGTCGACGTCCACTGCCAGCCAACCCCATCCAGTCGCACGCGGCGGACTGGGAGCGTCTTGAGACATGCACGCACTGCCACAGCGAGATGACACGCCGAGAGCTGCGCTCCCACCAACCCGATTGCCCTCAGCGGCCGATGTCCTGTGCGGCATCTCTCGAAGGCTGCGAGTGGCGTGGCCCACAGCAAGAGAAGGTGGCCCACGAGCGCAGCTGCATGCGATGTGTCTGCAAGCAGATGATGGCAGCCCGTGACCGGAAGCTCAATGAGCTTCGGCAGGAGACCGAGACGCTGAAATCGCAGGTGACGTCGCTCAGGGCGCAGCTGGCTGCACGTCCAGCGGATGAAGATCGGCAGCTGCGGCAGTCACCCGAGGAGCAGGACCAAGCTGCGCGAGCCTCGCAGGCTCTGGGCTACGTCCTGCTCCAGGCCGTGCCCAATGTGGCGACATTTCTCGTGAGCGAACTTAGCCAAGGCACGGAACGGTACGGCCATGCAGAGGTCGTACGTGCAGGTCGCGCCCTCCACGCGATCTCGCATCTCGTTCGAGAGCGCCAGTGGTCAGAGAGAGCCACTCTCGAGCGGGCCGGGGTAGTCGAGGCTGTGCTCCATGCCCTCCACCGCTCTGTGCAGCAACTGCGTCGTTTGAGAGGGAATCAGTACGGCGAGCAGTCCACGTTGCAGAAGAACGCCTTTGACGTGCTCGGCTATTTCGACCTCAACCGCGGACAGGTGCACCGCGTCCTCGAGCTGTACACTGTCTTCCCTCGCCGGAGTGAGGAGCAATTGCCACTCACCGTCACGGCGGATGCCCTCAAGCCAATGTACGACTGGCTATGGGACAGTTGTTTTGGGATGTACGACTATTTCGAGTCCCCCTCGTCTCTGGCGTTGCTGCCTGCTAGCTACCTGGTCCGCGACTTGAACGATTTCGGAACGCTGGTAGGGAGCCTGCCCTGCTTCGTGTCTCGATCGTTGGTAATGCATGCCCACAGTTCAGAGGCAGGGCTGCGCGCTGCACAAGACGCGGGTGCAGTCGAGGCCCTCTGCGACGCCCTCTACAGAGCGGAAGACGGCGATGGTATGCGCGACAATGGCTGGTTCGGCCTTGAAGCGCTGGCGGAGCTTTGTGGCCGAGGAAGCGAGGACGCGTTCGGGCGGATGGTCGACGCCGGTGTGCTGGAATACTTTGTTCAGGCGCAGCTCAATCAGGGAGGAGAGCCGCAGCCCGAGTCCATCTTATGGGGCCTGATCGGCGGCAGTCAGGGAAGACAGCATCGTGCGCAGCAGCTCGCAGTTCAACTGGGCGCTCCCGCCGACTGGCTCGAGGAGATAATGACGAGGGAGGGTGTGTTGTGAAAGCTCTCTCTCTTCTCTCTCTCTCTCTCTCTCTCTCTCTCTCTCTCTCTCTCTCTCTCTCTCTCTCTCTCTCGCCATAGTATTTCTTTCTTTCTCATTTCGTCTCTTGTTTTCTCGCGGACCACGCGGTATTTTCCGAGCCGGTAAAGTCTGCGCCAGTCCACGCCCCCTTAGAAAGAAAGAAAACACTTTCCTCAAAAGGGAGGGATGAGAGGACGGCACGCCGCCACCACACAGGGATTTTAAGGAGAGTGGTGCGTTCAAAAATTCTTTTTTCACACGACACCGGGTTCGGGACTGGCACGGAAGAGAAAATTCTTTTTTCGACACAGACAGTCCCGCGCATCAGCCGAACGGAGGCCTCGACCGCGTGGCAAGCTCTCGAGCATCTCGAGCAGCTCGCCGGTGTCTCGGCGCTTCTCTGACACGCTCGCGCCACCTGTCTGCTCGAATGAGAGCCATCACGGCGCTCGCCTTCTTTGCCGTCGTGGCTAGCGGCCTCATTCTTCTCCTACGCGTACAGTCGTCCACCGCCGCTCTGGACCGCGAACGACGCCTTCTCAATGCACCGACCGCCGCTCGGAGCGAATCGTCGGAGCTGGCCGAGCCGCAAGCAGCGGGAGGGCCGTCAGCGGGAGAGAAGTCAGCGGGAGAGCTGCCAGCGGGAGGGCCGTCAGCGGGAGAGCTGCCAGCGGGAGAGATGTCAGCGGGAGAGCTGCCAGCGGGAGAGCTGCCAGCGGGAGAGCTGCCAGCGGGAGAGGCTCCTGCGGTGCAGCCAGTGGGAGCTGTCAGTGCCGACGCACTGCTGGAGCTTCAGCACGTGTGGGACTGGTCGAGTATGGCCAAGGAGATGCTGCAGCCCTTCACCGTCTTCACGCGAGAGATGCTCGACGCGGCAGTCGCAACCTGCTTCGACAACGGCACGATGTACTGCGCCCGCGCGCAGGTCAGTGAAGGGCACTCGCGGCAGCTGGTCTGCCCCTGTGCATTGCGATGCGCCTGCTTCCAGCATCGTAGGACGGGCCCACACCACGCACTCACAGAGCCGTCCTTTGACTTGCGAGAGGTCTCCGCAGGTGCACCGCGGCAGCCTGTACCTCACCGACTACCGCGCCATCTTCTTCGACCGATGGTACGCGCCAGCGCGCGTGATGCCGCTCCTCGACGCGCTGCGCTGGCAGTCGCTGCCCTACCCCGCCCCACGTGGAGACCTCTCTCGGGCCTTTCTCGGACCGTTCTCGGACCTTTCCCGTAGGCACTCGCTGCCCGACATCGACATCGTCTTTGCCGCCGTCGATGAGCCGCGCGTCAAGATGCTCGTCGAGGAGGCGCAGTGGACGAGGACGGTGGGCAAGTACCCGGGCAAGGTCGCCGGGGCGGTGAAGCTGCCTCCGCCCATCTTTTCGTCGACCGTCAATCGGGCGCACCACCACCTCCCGTGGCCAGACTTCTCTACCTCGGCCGATCTCGGCCGATCTCGGCCGATCTCGGCAAATAGGCGCACCACGACCTCCCGTGGCCAGACTTTTCGTTCTACACCCCGCGCAAGGAGCACAAGCTGCGCACGCCGCCATGGAGCGAGCTGCACGGCGAGATCGCCCGAGATCGCACGAGATCGCTCGAGATCACCCGAAGATGAGTCTATCATCGGCGCTGCGTCAGTCGCGGGGCGGCCGCTGGGAAGTAGCTACTCCACCGGCGGGTTGGAATGCATTCGATGCTAATGAGTCAGGCAAGATGCTGCGCCAGTCGGAGGGTGTCCGCTGGGAGGACAAGATCGAGCTCGCGATGCACACGGGCAACGTCGGCTCGCCGTTTCGTAAGCGGCTTGCGGCGGCGGCGGCGGCGCACCCCGACTCGATGCTGGTGAACGAGCTCTTCATTGGCGACCACGGTGAGATATAGCGCCGAGATGCAGCCGAGATGGAGCCGAGGTGCAGCCGAGGTGCAGCCGAGGTAGACATCGCAGTCCCTGCGAGGCTGCTGCGAGGCGTGTCCTTCCCACGAGGGCGTGCTTGCGCGAGCCCAGGCAAGATCAAGCAGACCTGCCGCGAGCTGGGGCTGCACACGCAGGGCGGCCACCAGCAGCACAAGTGCTTCATGCGCTTCGAGGACCAGTGCTCGTACAAGTACCTGCTCAACTCGGCGTCGATCGGCTACGCGAACAAGTTCAAGTACCTGCTGCTCTGTGGCTCGGTTGTCATTTACGTGCAGGTGTGCAGCGCCTCGTCTCGGCCAATCTCGGGGAATCTCGGCTCATCCCGTCCTCCCTGGCTGGCGCGTGCAGGACGGGATGCAGCACAAGGAGTTCTACGAGCACGGACTGCTGCCCGGCGTGCACTACGTGCAGGCGGCCACTGCAGACGACGTGCCCGCCATGGGAAGGGAAACCGCGCTGAGGCAGAGGCGGTGAGAGCAGGTGGCGACTGCAGACGACGTGCCCGCCATGGTGCGCTACCTGCGAGAGCACGACTCCTACGCCCGCGCGGTCGCGTCTTTGGGGCGAGCTCGGCGAGGTGTGCACAGCGCCTCTTCACAGCTGGCGGTGTGAACAGGTCGCCTCCGCGGGGCGAGCTCGGCTCGCGGCGCTCGACGTGCGCGCGATCGCCGCCTTCAACGCCGAGCTCTTCACGCAGTACGCCGCCAAGCAGCGCTTCAGGGTGAGGCCGCTGCCGGGTGCCGCTGCGGACCGACACTGCGAGACGTCCCGTGGAGCAGCGCCTCTTCACGCCGTGGCGCTGTGAACAGGCGCCGTCCGGATCGACTGCGAGGACGACCTGTGGCGGCACTATGCGCGCGACCCGGGCTTCCTTAAGCACTTTCGCTCCGAGGACAACGCCACGTGCGTGCGCCCAATCTCGCCGCCCTTCCGGCCTCCGGGGTGGGGCGGGGCGTACAACGGCTCAAAGGTGCGCCAGCAGCAGTAGGCAACCTGCTTCCAAGGTCGGACCCCTCTCTCCACGCCCAAGCGACTGGCGGCAGGAGACGTGGCTCAGATCCGCACAGGGGCTGGGGGACGCGCGCTCACTGAGACACACAGTGACCCCTCCCCCCCCCCCCCCACCCCACCCCCACCAAAGGTGCGCTGCGTGGCGTCGCACGACCAGCGAGCCGGCGCGCAGCCCCTCTTTTGCACGCCCGGCGCGGTCGTCGAGGAGGACCAGAACCCGGGCGATAAGACTCTGCAGCACCGGGTCATCACCACCACGCGGAGCGTACAGCCCGGCACCAGCTACGCGCCCTTCTCCGAGTTCCCGAGTGCGGCGAAGGACGGAATCCCTTGGACTATGCTGTGACCATGTGAGGGCTGAGGGGCCGGGCCGGTGCCACTTGGTCGTACGAGAAGTGTCCCACAAAAAAAGGTGGTGACGATATAGCATATACGTAACGACATATACAAATCAGTGTTGAATATTTACCGGTATGAGACCGGTATTTGGTGATATTTTGATTAGTTTTGGAGTGGTATGGTATAGTGGTATGCGAAAGTGGTATGCGGGGTTTTCATTAGTTGTAGCGGCTGTCGGTGTGGTCCCGGGGGCGAAACCATGCAAAAGTGCGGGTATTACCCGGGTATACCCGGGTTTTTCCAGGTATACCCGCAAAATACCCGGTATTTTGCCGATTTTGCCGATTTTGCCACCAAGAAGGCACTCCGACTCGCTTTGATTTCCGTGAGGCAACTGGTATCCCGTACCACTTTTTGATTAGTTCAGGCCTAGGGTTTGATTAGCCAAAAACTCCCATACCGGTAAATATTCAACACTGATACAAATTTATGTGAAAAGTTCTTATAAGATAATAAGAACCGAGGTGCGGTGACGCATATGTTACCTGCCAAGTGAGCATTCAAGTGACGTTTGTGGAGATTATTCGAGATTTGAAACGACAAATTTCACTTTTCAGCGGAGAGGTGCCAGACCTGATCTTAGAATCGCTCGGGCGCCCCCAGCTTCGAGCGCACACACACACACACACACACACACACACACACACACACACACACACACACACACACACACACACACACACACACACACACACGCTGCCCGCCGCGGAGATGACAGCCCTCATGATCTCGGCGCTAGCGGACACCGAGCTGTCGTCATCTACCCGACAGGCAGCCGCGGGGTCGGAGAGCCCATCGTCTACACGGCGGACCCGTCTTCGTGCCGGGGGGCACGCCACCTAGCCTTCGACCACAGGGGGCGTTTGCGGCGGTAACACAGAGTTTTGTTTTTTGCGGCGGTCACGGTCACTGTCGGTCAGAGCGCGGGCACAAAGTGGAACAAAAACAACCCTGTCTTGCACGTCTCGCGCGCGCGTGAACAGGGCTCCAGGCCCCAAATTACGTGTGAGTGTTAGAGTTGTTTGGTATTGCTAAAAATCTCTCTCTCTCAAAGTGGCGGCGGACACCTCGTCAATAAAATAATTTGAAACGTCGTCGAGCGCGAAAGTACTAAGTAGACAAACAAAGTAGTGAGGGAACAGCCTCGGGGTGAGCGACGCGTAGTGAGCGAATCGCCGGGGCGGGCGCCTGGCGGCTCCGCGGAGCTCCTTTGGCTCGGCGCGGGCGCGAGGGCGAAAAAAAGAAATTTACCCCGAGGCTTTGCCTGCGCTCGGCGGCCGCGCCCAGGATACAAGTGCGCACACTTAATGATTTTCGGCCGGCCGCAGGTCGGGCTGGACGCGGCTGTTTCGGCCGGCGGTCGGGGTCGGACACCAGCTTTGTCGGCGCGTCAGCGCCGAAGAAAATTATGGATACGAATCTCGAACTTCTATTTACTCCTTGAGGTTCCCTCAGGCCCGCCGCCGCGCTCGCTGGACAGCGGCCGTGACTCACCTGCTTCGGGCGCGCTGCTCCTCGGGGATGGCGAGAAGCGGCAGAGAGAGATGATGCTCATAGATGAGCTAGCCCCAGATGCCCCGTTTGCCCCACTGCGGCGCCGCGCTCGTGCCGGCGTGCGAGTGGGTACAATGCACCCCCTCGGCCGCTCGCGGCCCGGAACGCATCGGGAGATATTCATTCGTATACGTCAAGACGTGCTCAGATGGCACGTAGTAGAGTGACTGAGCGCGTGGCCACTCTCCACCCTCGATTGCGGGTGCGGCCGCGGCCGCAGTGGTGTAGGCGGACAGTAATGATGCCGCGCGGGCGGAGTGGCGGACACGAGGACGCTGCCGTCGGACGAGGGGTTGCTATCATACGCAAGCACGAGCCGTCGGTGACGCGACGGCGTCATCACCGTTGGCCAGCATAGAAGCGCGAAAACCTGCCCGTGTGTCGGATGCGTCCCCAAACTTGTAGCGCTACATCTTTGGACACACACCGGCGGGCGCTTTCGAGGCGACCGGCAGCATTTTTTCTAGCCACATGGACCTTTTTGCGGCACGATAGCTGGGCTGCAACATACGTGTACCTACACTCGACTACAGCTACGACTGCAACGGCGCGCAGCGCCGAAGAAAATTTTGGGGCTTCTCGAGCGGCGGCCGGTGTGGACGCCGTTGTTTCGCAGCTCGGTCGGGGGGGGGCGCCCCTGCGTTTCCCTGCGGTCGGTCGAAAATCATTAAGTGTGCGCACTTGTATTGTATGTCTGAACGGCTGATCGATCCCAGCTGGCCAGCGGGCACCTCGGGAGAAGCTGATCATGCCCAGCCATCCTCATCCCCCGAAGCAGCTGTGGCCGCGATCTCAGCCGGTCTCGTGACCGCCCCGCCTCGGCAGGTGCGCGTTTGAGCGAGGCCGTCCCGCAGCGCACACCGAGACGGGGCCGGTCGCGGGCAGCGCCACTTTCCGTCAGTCTTTCGCCGCGCTCCGGCCGCTCCTTTGCTCCTGGCCGTCACTTCCCAGCGGCTTTGCATTCCCCCAGCGCGCTGTCGAGGCTGGCAAAGGGGAGGACGCGCGCAGCGCTGCGCCGCAGGCGCTCCGCCGGTCAGCGCCCGGCCGCAGCGCGCAGCGCAAGGCTGGGCGCTGGCCGGCTGATACCCCGTAGGGCCGCCGGAGGCTCTTTGGGCCGACACAGTCATGCCGCCTTTCGCCCGCAGGGCTCTCCGGCCTGCGGACAACAGCGCGCTCTCGCCGGCGCGCTCTCGGCCATACGCGAGCAGGCCCCCTCGCTCTCGCTCCCCCCTCGGCATCGCACGCAGGTGAAGCTCGGACGGCGGCATGGGAGGGGCGAGGCACTGCCGTTCCACTCTGACGGCAGACGGGCTGCGCGAGAGCGACTACCGGGAGCGCGCTTCGGCTCCTCCCCGCCCCCGCCCCCTCCGCCCCCCTCCCCCCCGCAGCTCTGCTAAGTGCTCCCGCTCCGGAGTGGCTATGATGACGGTGTTTGTTTGTTGTGCAGCTTCAGTCTGGATCAGTCTGTGTGAGAGAGAGGTGTTTTGTCTGTGTGCGCGTAGCGTGTGCGGGGGGGGGCATGACCGCCTTAATCTTGTGGCACGACCGCGGTAGTGATACGAAGTGACAGCCTGTGGTTAAACTTAAAACGCCCTCGTTCACCGCCGGGTCGTCGAGCACTTACAGCGGAGCACTTGGAGCACTTGGAGTGCAGTTATTTGCCGCACGCCCATGCAGGACCGGGGAGCTCAGAAGCGCACCCAGTGGCATATAATTTCTTCTTTGGGCGGCGGCTCGAGGGCGGCGGGCGTCATGGTCGGACGGAGCCTGAGCGAGGACGAGCGCTCGGCGGAGCTGCTGGCTGTTGTGCGCGGGCTGCAGGCGTTCTTCTCGTCGCACGGCCGCGAGGCGGTCTTCCCCGACCTCTCCGATAAGGTCGTGTACGGCGATTACCGCGTCGCGGGTGCGCGCGGACACCAGCTGCTCGAGACTGTCACCGCGGAGATCAACACGTGCTCCCACATCAAGTCGGGCGCGTGGCCATTCAAAAAGCCGGAGTCGGTCCGCAGGAGCTACGTCGGCGAGATCGGGTTCAATGTCGGGCGCGAGAACGAGGCCGTGTTCGAGGCATACGCCCGGGCGCTTGAGCAGACGCGGAGGAGGCAGCGGATATGGCGGCCGACGCCAGCCCTGCTCCGCTCGGGGAGCGCCCTGCGACCGCGCACAACGCGGGCGCGAGCGCCGCGAGCGCTGAGGCGGGCTGCACTGAGGCCGGCGCGGCGGCGGTGGCGGCGTGGAAGGCGGCGGCGGTGGCGGCGGAGTCAACGGCGGTGGCGGCGCTGGACGCGGCGGAGGAGGCGGCAGCGGCAAGGGGTACATTCATCGAGGAGGAATGGGCGGCAGCGCAGGCGCAGGCGCAGGCGGCGGGGGCGCTGGCGGTGCGGCTGTGGGGCCTGGCGGCGGCGCAAGGAGATGCTGACGCGCAGTTCGGCCTGGCCTTGCTGCTCTCGACCGGAGGCACGCTCTCGACCGGAGGCACTCTCATCTCCCACGGATACGTCAACCTGGATTACGTCGAGGCGGAGCGGCTTTGCGGCTTGGCGGCGGCGCAAGGTCACGCGCAGGCTCGATTCGATATGTACGACTGCTTTTGCCGTCCGCGCGACGGAGCGGCCCGACCGCTCGGCCGCCGTCAAAAGGACCGCGCGGAGGCGCGGCGGTGGTTGGGCCTGGCGGTCGCACAGGGGTGCGCCGGGACGTGGCTCCCTACGGAACCGCGGTATCTCTCTTCCTTGGCGCTCGCCCAGCGGGAACTCGCCCTCATACTCTACGAGGGCCTCGGCGGCCCCAAGGACCACGCGGAGGCGCGGCGGTTGTGGGGCCTGGTCGCATCACCTGACGATGGGCGCGACTTGTGGTACCCCGCCAACGGAGACGCGCGTAGGCCCACCTCCGACTACGGAGACGCGCACTACTCCCTCGGTCTGATGTGCCAGCGCGGCGAGGGTGGGCCTAGCGATGAGGACGAGGCCTTGAGGCACTTTGACCTCGCAGTCGCTCGTTACTCGTACTCAGGGGACCTCGGCCTTCAGTTCGAGCGAGCAAGAGCCGCCGCCGCCAACATTCGTGACGCCCGGGTGCGCGGTGGGTTGGAATCTATGGAGGAGTGTTGAGGCACAGGCGCACAGCAGTTACAGTCGTGTCGCCCCCGCCCCTCTCACTCTCTCTACTCTCCTCACACTGTTGCCATTGTGCGAGAAACAAAGCTCAAAGGACGAAAAATGTGAGTGAATTCACACAACTCATAAAACTAAAACTTTGGCGAGCCAACGCAGCTCTTTAAACCTACCCATGACGGCAAAGCGTCGTGACGTGTCAACAACGCCTAGCGCGCAGCGCGAACTCGCCGTCTGAGCCTAGCGCAGCGCGAACTCGCCGTCTGAGCCTAGCGCAGCGCGAGCTCGCTCCTGTTCACAGCTGCGCAACCCTAGCCTAGCTCCATTTTGCGTTTACGTGAACAGACGCCGTAGTTGGCCGGCAAGTGTCAAAAATGTCCCGGAGCGAGGAGCGTCGCTGGCGTGATGAGCAACGGCGCGACGAGTACGGACGCGAAGAGCGGCGATGGCGGGGCGAGCCGCGACGGCGGTCGCGATCGCGCGATGAGCCGCGGCGGGATGAGCTGCGACGGCGAGGCGAGCAATGGCGGCACCATGACGTGCGGCATGACGAGCGGCGCGGCTACAACGACTCTTGGTGCAGTGGCCGCGAGCAGCGATGGCACGCTGAGCCACACGCCGCTGAGCGATGGCGCGACGAGCCATTGCGAGGCGAGCGACGGCCGCATCATGACGGGCGGCACGTTGAGCGGCGCGGCTGCAACGACCGACCAAGCATAGGCGAGCGCGAGCGCGACTTGTACGATCGGCGCGATGATCGGTCCCACGATCCCAGGCGCGACCATGACCGGCGCGACCGCCGCGGCGAGGGGCAGCCTCAGCACAGCGACCGCCGGTTGAGTCCGCCGATGCGTGGTGCGGGATCGCGCGAAGAGAGGCACACCTCTGCTGCCGGTGGTCAGCTCAACGCAAAGCAGCTCAACAGCCACATCTCAAATGCTGGCAGCACTGACGCACTGCTCACGCTCTTTGATGCCCACAGCGCGAGCTTGAACCACATCCACGCTGCGAACCTGTGGAACAAACTGGGCAAGCAGCGCATCGAGCGGCGGCACGAGGGGCGGCTTGAGCAGCTGGTGCAGCGCACGCTCGACCTGGTTTCTTCGTGCCGAGCACGCGAGCTGGCCAACGTGTCTCACGGCGTTGCAAGGTGCGGCTTGCAGGCGAGGGTGGTGCACCCGTTGTTCGTAGCGGTGGCGGAGGCGGCGGTGCGTGGCGGGCTGGCTGGCTTCAAGCCGCAGGAGCTGGCCAACACGGTGTGGGCGTACGCGACGGCGGGCGTGGCTGCGGACGCGCTGTACGCGGCGGTGGCGGAGGCGGCGGTGCGGAGCGGGCTGGCTGGCTTCAACCCGCAGGACCTGGCCAACACGGTGTGGGCGTACGCGACGGCGGGCGTGGCTGCGGACGCGCTGTACGCGGCGGTGGCGGAGGCGGCGGTGCGGAGCGGGCTGGCTGGCTTCAAGCCGCAGGAGCTGGCCAACACGGTGTGGGCGTACGCGACGGCGGGCGTGGCTGCGGACGCGCTGTGCGCGGCGGTGGCGCAGGCGGCGGTGCGGAGCGGGCTGGCTGGCTTCAACCCGCAGGACCTGGCCAACACGGTGTGGGCGTACGCGACGGCGGGCGTGGCTGCGGACGCGCTGTACGCGGCGGTGGCGGAGGCGGCGGTGCGGAGCGGGCTGGCTGGCTTCAAGCCGCAGGAGCTGGCCAACACGGTGTGGGCGTATGCGACGGCGGGCGTGGCTGCGGACGCGCTGTACGCGGCGGTGGCGGAGGCGGCGGTGCGGAGCGGGCTGGCTGGTTTCAACCCTCAGGACCTGTCCAACACGGTGTGGGCGTATGCGACGGCGGGCGTGGCTGCGGATGCGCTGTACGCGGCGGTGGCGGAGGCGACGGTGCGGAGCGGGCTGGCTGGCTTCACCCCTCAGAACCTGGCCAACACGGTGTGGGCGTACGCGACGGCGGGCGTGGCTGCGGACGCGCTGTACGCGGCGGTGGCGGATGCGACGGTGCGCGGCGGGCTGGATCGCTTCAACCCCCAGAACCTGGCCAACACGGTGTGGGCGTATGCGGCGGCAGACTGTTATCACCAAGCGCTGCTTGCCGACTGCTCGCGCGTGATCAGCGACTCGCTCGCGCGGGATCCGTCGAGGTGGAGCGAGGAGGACCGCCGTCAGCTTCACCAGTGTCAGCTCTGGCTCTCCCTGGAGCGAGGAGCAGACGCGCAGCAGCATCTTCTTCCCTCCCCTCAGCGCAAGCTCTGTCGCGACGCTATGGTGGCGACCATAGCTCGGCCGTCAGGCTTGCAGCGCTCCGTCGCGGCTGCCCTCGCCGCCGTCCAGCACGGCTTCGAGGAGGAGCATCTCGAGCCGCGCACCGGCTACTCGCTCGACTTGGCGCTGCCCTCGTCACGCGTCGCGGTCGAGGTGGACGGCCCCTCTCACTTCCTGCTGCCCGACGGCCGGGGCGTGCGCAAATCCAATGGGCCAACGCTGCTCAAGCGGCGCCTCCTCAGGGCGGCTGGCTGGAGGGTGATCAGCGTTCCATTCTACGAGTGGGACGGCTTCGCGACAGCCAATGGGCAGCAAGCCTACCTGGAGAGGGCGGTCGCCCCGCTGTTGGGCTAGTACTGTGCACACTGACTGTTCTCAATTGGGCGGCTCCCGTGGTGTACCTTTGTCCTCGTGGACGTGCCTGTGACCTGTGTTAGTGCTAATTAATAGTGGCCCCCCAGGGAAAAAAGAGAATTTTACGCACGAACACGTCACGCAAGCTGTATACGTGAAGGAGAGCGAAATGGAATGGTACACCCCACGTCACGCTCACGGCTGCATCGTTGTCAGCCGCATTTTCGTTCGTTGCTTACGACGCTCATCATGAAGTTCTGCTTGCGTTCTTTCTACAGACAATGCTCAATGGTGGAGTGTTTGTTTGGAGTGTGTACACCCTACCTACTCATGAATAGCTTCCTTATTCGGGGGACGGGGCGGTCCTCCCTTTCTTTTTTGCGACCACCGCATCGAGAGTCAAGCACGCGAGCCACCTAGACCCGCCATAAAAACGGTATGGCGGTAGAGGGCTCTACTGCCGCGGCGCCCCTGTCGGTGCGAAGGCGCCCGGCGGCCGCGCGCTTGGTGCCCACGTCGACCGGCTGCTCTCGTGGCGCCGAGGCGTACCGCTTCGGTCATGTCTCGCGCGCTGCGAGGTGTCTTTTGGCATGTGAGCGCTGGCGAGAGACGCCAGCAAGCTCGCCTTCCTTGCCTGCGGCCGCGGGCGTGCGGGCGGGCCCGCCAGGCTCGGCGAAGCTCGGCGCGGGTCTTCGAGCTCGCCGCCGGCGACGAGCCAGCATGGCTCGTCGCTCGACGGCAGCATGCCCAGTATCCTCTCGGCATTCTGTACAGCATCGCCAAGCTCTCTGGGAAGGTCCGCAGGGCCAGGGCGGGCCGTATCGGGCGCTATGGCGCGCTAGGGCCGCCTAAGCGCCTAAGCACCCTAAGCACCCCCCCGCTTAGGCCGCTTAGGCGCTTAGGCGAGTGACGGCCGACTCCCCGGGGCCTGGCGTGCCTCCGCCATGGGCTGAGCGCCTGGGAGAGCCACTCAGCAAGTGGTGTGCGAGCGTGTAGCCTTTAGCGTGCAGTCGGCCTAATACGAGCTTTCCGCAGCCCTTAGCTACAAAGACGGGTTTCCCGCCATGGCGGCATGAGTTTTCCCGCGTACGACCTGGTCCTCGGCACACCGGCTGGTGTCCGAGATGGGGCCTCCGGCTGGAGGCCATCAGATAGCGGCCCACAGGCTTGTGGGTTCGCGCGAAAATTGAATCGAAACGAGGCAAAACGCCCACACCGCAAGCCGCAGAAAACTAGAGCACCCGCACCAGCGAGAGAGGGCACACAGGCCACCAAGCCGCCGCGAGGAGACCAGAGAGGACAGAGGCGCGAGCGCGAGAGAATCAGCAGCGCGTGCGACGCCAGCCACGAACATTACACGAGAGCCGACAGCCATAGGCGCAGTGCGATGCGACACTGCGATGCGATGGGACATGGAGATGAGGGGCAGGGTGACAGCGCAGAAGCAACAGAGAGAATAGGGCATGAGTACCACGGCGACCGGGATGTAGGCGGCGCGGAACGGCGACGGACGGGCGGGGGCGAGGCGGCGGCGGCGCGACAGGAACCAACGAGGATAGAAAAAGAGAGACACGGGCTGCGCCGCGCGGCGAGGAAATCGAGCAGAACGCGACCGACGCGACCCGTGAGACACGAGGAGGCGGAAGACGCCGTGGCAGGAGGCGGCGTGTCGTGGCCGCGCACCGAGATGCGCGGGAGAGAGCTGGAGGGAAGGCGCGCGCGACGAGGAGAGAGACAGAGAGGAGAGAGCGCAAGGAATATGGACCCTCGCGCGCGAGCGGAACACAAGGCGACACGGGAGGGCGGGACCGGGCCAGGGCGTACGGGGATCGACCCATCACTAACACACAGGGACACGCACACTGAACGCGCCGTGGGAGCCGGACACACACAGATGGGGACCAACACCAGTGCCCACACCACAGAGGCCCGCAGACGCCAACACCACAACATGAGCCAGACCGACTCGCCCCGCCCGACACACACGGGAGATGCAGTTGAGAGGACGTGGGACCCCACTTATAGTTTCGATGAACACTCCCGGATATCAAATTTATTTTTTCGATGGTTTTCTTTTCTCCCAGCGGCGGGCATTCGAAGAGCACACAGACACACAGCGGAACGAGATTGGATATCCCCCGCCGGCTTCGCTGATGACTCAGCGAGACGTATCTCTTCTCAACGAGTTTCTTTTCGCGAGCGTGTTAGTATTCGGCGGGCGCAATGCCGCGAGGAAGACCTCCTTAGACGACATGCGCCACAGAGCGACAGCCCGACCAGCCGCGCCAGCGCATGCCGACGCAGGATGAACGAGAGGGGTCGGGGCTGCATGCCAATCACACAGTCAACCACGAGGAGAAGGGGTCCAACACCCTCCACTTCGACACGAGGGCTGCGTCAGAGGAGAGCGACAACCCGAGACAATGTGAGGACAAGCACGGGAGAGGAGCAGAACGAGAGAGGAGCTACCAACGAGCGAGGCGTTCAAAACGACGGCGTTCGCGCGACGGCGTCCGTGAGACGCCAAAAGTTGAGAGTGCAAAGCCTTGCGATACCGCGGCACCGGACCCTCACAGACAATGAGAGGATGCTTGGGAGACGTCGGAGTGCGTGCGAGGAAGGCGACGCAGTCGGAAGGGGACGGCAAAACAGCAAGGCCGATATCAAGAGGATCCGAATATTCGCATACAACCGACCCGGCCAGCACATGGTAAGCAGAGAAAGTGACGTATACAGGAGAAAAGAAACGGGCAATGGGAAGGACCTGGCCACCACACCAAGTGAAGCGATGGCCTGCGTAATCAACATGATGAATGACCATCGCGGCGATCTTGGAGTCATCTCGGAGAGCACGACGACAGAGGACGAGAGAGCTGCAGTGATAGGGAGATGGGATCTTGAGGGGTATGGAACCAGCGTTGCCTGCGGCGAGAGGGAGGGCGACACCGACGCCGACGCCAACACAGGGCAGACAGGAGCAACATCGGGGGCGGGCACGAGCAGCGACCCGCAAAACGCCAAGCGCGGACGCGGGCGAACGAGATGTGGCGTGACCATCGTATGGAACACCGACAAACTCAAAAAAGTCGAACCAGAACAGGAGGTCGACATAATCGCTGCACGAGTGAGGAGGGTGATACTCGAAACACTCGATGGGAAACACCGAATCAGCGTGTACGGCGCGTATATGCCCGATACAGGAAAGAGCAATGACGAAATCGCCAAGGCGTGGAAGGAGCTCAAAGAAGCGATACGACACGACACGCACGAGAGGGTGCTCATCATCGGCGACATGAATGCTGTAACGCGGAAATGGGTGGAGGAAAGAGGGCGGCAAATGGGGACGGCGGACACGGAAATGGATGACCTGCTAGAGACCGAACAAATGGAGTCGCTGGGCACGGGCGTCGCGACGCACAGGGGGGGAAGGGAGATTGATCACATAATAGTCGACGCGCAGACACGAGCACGAGCAAGCGAGGCGGAGGTCATGCCAGGAGAGAAAGACGATCACAAAATTGTACACGCCGACATCATACTCGCAGAGGAGAACGCCGACGAAGGACAGCACAGGCGGATTGGAGTAAAACTAGACGACTGGGACGAGGCGGAATGGGCGACGTACGTGACTGAGACGGGGTCCATGAAGAATATGTTGAGCACTTGAGCACTGGATAGGGTCGATCCGCATGGTACGGGACCCCTCGATCGTCTCGCCCTCCCTCAACAGTAGGTTTCGGGTCGATGCCGACTGTGAACTCTTTAAGTTTTGGAGGTTCTGAGCGGGTTTGGGAGCGACTTTTGGCACTTTGGAGCGCGGGTTTGGGCCTCCGTTACCTGCCGCGTGGCAAAAATATTCTCAATATTCGAGAATATTCTCGAGAATATAGAGGGCCCAGAGAGAATATGATGCAAAGAATATAGATAGCCTATGCAGAGAAAAGCGCGCAAAGGCCAACCTCTGGCCTCGCCTCCCTCTCCCTCAGGCATTCGTGGCATCCTATGGGTCTTCCAGAGTATCGACCTCTGGCTTGTCAGCCGGTCACTTGATGACACCATGAAGTACAGCGATCGCCATCTCGCTGGCCTCTCCGCAAGGCCCCCCGACCGCGTCGAACTCATCGGCGCGGGCTCTCTCGGCTACGGGACCGGCCCCAGCTTCGGCTGAGGGCTAACAAGCTGCCGAGCCCAAACAAACAAACAAACAAACAAATCACGGATCGTGATTTCTTGTTGGTCTTCAAAAATCTCTCTCTGGGCGAGAATAACGCGCACAGGCTAAGATCCACCGAGCATGGACAGCCTCAGAATTCGAGCCCGAGCCGGCTCGCTTCCGCGACTCGGGAGGCAGGCAAGCCCGAGATCGGAAAAAAAACCGTCGGACAAGGCCTCCGAGTGCAGACTGACGGACCAGCGCAAGCAGCCATGGTCTGGTCCTGCGATTCGTGCACGCTCGACAACGCAGATGACCGACGCTCATGCGAGGCGTGCGAGGCTGCGCGGCCGCTCCCGCCCTGGTCCTGCGCTTCATGCACGTTCGAGAACCGAGGGCTCGACGAGGAGTGCGAGGTCTGCCACACGGCAAAGCCGGCCCCGACGTGGACGTGTGCGGCGTGCACCCTCCAAAACGGAGACGCGTTGACCGCCTGCGACGCCTGCGGGGCAGCCCGACCTGGCGCCTCGCCGCCGCCCGCCAACTCGACAGTCGAGTACGACGTGGTGGTCCCGGATGGTGTGCCGGTAGGCGGGGTGTTCGAGGCCCTTGTCGGCGACCTCAGCATCCCCGTCACCGTTCCACCAAACCTGATGCCCGGGCGGCGGCTTCGAATCCGAGTCGACCCCAACGCCAGCGCGGCTCTGCACCATCCGCCGCCGCAGACTCCACCGCCGCCGCCGCCGCCGCTGCCGCCGCCGCCCGCCGCGTTGCCGGCCGTCCGACCTCCCGCCGCCTCGCCTCCGCCGACGCCGCCGGACCCTCTCGCCGCCCTGCTGTCGACTCTCTCGCTCGAGAAGTGGCTGCCGACGCTCAAGGTGCCCAGGGGGGGGCTGCGGGGTCCGTCTCGCCTTGCGCTGCAAATACCGCCGGGCTCCCGCCTTCGGGCGTGGAGATACGAGGGGTAGCCTGGGCACTTGCCCCACCCTCCTCTCCTAGCCGCCTCACCCCACCCCTCCTCTCCTAGGCCAACGACATCGACGACCTCCAGGCGCCGCCTCTCCCACCCGGAAGGAGCCACGGCGATGATGATGATCCCCTCCGGCGTACCCCCCCACTCTCCAGGCCCTCTCCCTCCTCTCGCTCGACGACCTCGACGACCTCGGCCTCAGCCTCGGCGGGCGGCGCAAGCTGCACGCAGCGCTGCACGGGCAGTCCGTCGGCGCCTCTCCTCGGAGCGCGCGCAGCAGCGGTGCGTCGGCTCTGCATAGACAGTCAGTCAGTCAGTGTTACACACGCCCCTAGCACGGAGGATGGGGCACACGCACTCGCGGAACACACACGGGGGGGCAGTACGAGGCGCTCTGTGCGATCTCGGGAGAGGAGCTCTGCATGCCGCCAAGGAGATGCCGCCAAGGGGTTCCCTCCTCCTCTTCCCGACTGGTCAGCGGCTCCCTCTCAGGCGCAAGCCCGCGTCGCAGTGGCGCGACTCTGCCGCCCGCCGCCACACCACGCGCACAGGCCGGCGGCTTCGAGCACCTCTCGGCTCCGAACCCGTTCACCGCCCCCGACCCCTTCCCGCGACCCGACGGCGCCTCCTACAGACAACACCTCTCAGACACCTCCCAGACACCTCCCAGACACCTCCCGGACACCTCCCATACACCTCCCACACCTCTCAGACACCTCTCAGACACCTCCTCTCAGACACCACCTCTCAGACACCTCCCGCCGCTCCGCTCTCGAGACGCCTCCGAGAGCGCCCCGCCCCCGTCGCGCAATGTTCTCGGAACCTTCTCGGAACTCTCCTCTCGCGCAGGCGGGTCGCCCGTCCCTCCCTCGCCAATGCCGCAGCTCGACCCCTTCCCGCCGCCGCCCTCCGCGCCGCCCTCGGCGCCCGCGCCTCGGTCCTCGCCGCCATGATTCATTAATTTCAGGGAGGACTGCCATTCATTCACTCTCAGGCACCGCCCGCTCGCCCGGCGCCGACAGAACTGTCGCCGCGGCAGCTGTCGCCGACCGCCGATTTTGTGATGGTCGAGCGCCTAATGAGTAGTTAATTAGCAGTTAATTAGCAGTTAATTAGCAGTTAATTAGACTTTGCGATGGTCGAGCGCCGACCTTGTGAGCGTCTCTCTTCCTCTCTCCGAGGCTCCGCAGCTTCGCGTGGGGCCGTGTCGTAGGTGGAGCGCTCCTCCGACTCGGAGCGATCGCCCCGCGCGTCGCCTCGCCTCTCGGGCCGAGCCACGGCGCGGACTCCCCCCCCCCCACACACACACTACCTCCCGCCCCACCTCCCTCGTCGGACGTGGTTGCCACCCCTCCTCCA